AGGGTCTGGGGAATGCTTTAGACTTGTATTTTATTGATCTTCAATATGGTTGTCAAAGTACAACTTCCTTCTTTCTTAAATAGATTTCTGCAGTTCGCATAGACATCATTTTCTACTATAATGGCCTGATAAAGATTAAGTTTTACTATTTAAGGTTTTGTTTTAAAGTCAGGTTGAAATTTTTATCCATTAATTTTATCTGGTAAGATGCAAGCTGGAGTGATGTATGCAAGTGATAAACACTCCTTTGAAAATAAACGGTGGGATTGGCAGAATGTCAATGGTGGAAGACTCATTCACTTGTAAAATGCTCTTTCACATACGTACATGGTAACTCCATTTATTTTTTACTTTTCTTTGTGCAAAGAGATCTGTGGAATGGAAAAAATTTGTAAGTAGAGCGCTTAGGATATATATTTCATATACATTTATATACATAATGTACATATGAATGTTAACTTTATACTTGTAAATTAGTATATTTTACCTCTTGACTTTTCTCTATAAATTACATCACATAAAATTCATGTTTTTAGAAATATAAAATATAGCATTTATTTAGTTGTGACAGATTTGTAATCATATGTCACATATTTTGTCATTTCTTATATTTTTATTTCTTTTCATTTTACTTGAAAGGAAGAGAGAGAGAAAAGTGGAGCGCTCTTTCATCCTCTGGTTCACTCTCCAAATGCCTGCATCAACTGAGATTAGATCATTCCAAAGTCAGGAGTCCAGAGCTCAATCTGGATATCCAACATGGGTGGCATGGACCCAAGCGATTGAGCCATCATTTGTCATCTCCCAGGTTACACATCAGCCAAACGCTGGGTTTGAGGGGTACTAATGGGGATTTGAACCATGCACTCTGACTTCCCAAGTGGCAGCTTAACCACTTCAAACCCTTGGTCCTGACACACACACACACACACACACACACACACACACACATATATATATGGAGGTTCTGGTCTTGAGACTATGGTATTTACATATTGTCAATCATTCAAAAACTCGGGTCTGAGTAATTTTTCTTTAGACATGATGTCTAGTTTACCAATGTGCTTATTAAATTATGACAAGTGGTCTGGATGGTTTTTTAATAAATACATAAAAATCATATCAGATATATGAAAAAAATATATGAAAATAGAAGAAAATCTGACCAGCACTAATTCTTTATGTAAAATGAGAAAAAGAAAATGCAAACATATATGACCCAAATAATATACTGCAAGTAAGATTTCCTGATAAAAATTAAGCTTTATAATGATACCTAAAATTTTTGTTTTCTTCATTTTATTTAGCAACATACAGGTATTTTCCAAGATTTGTTCATCTTTTGTCAACCACTATCCCCAAAACACAGACCCTTAAAATCACCAACTTATGAAAGTCACCCATATGTCCCCAATTTCCCAAGCCTCATAGACAGCTATTGTCCCTTCATTACCTCTCTCAAAGTCAGTATTTTTAGCCATGAAATGCCATAAGGGGGCCAAGCTCTGTCTCCGTCAGTCCAGATTAATTGTTATCAACTAGGACTTACACAATAGAAATTTATTTTCTCTTTCCTCTAATTCCAGTGTTTGGTGTGTTTTGTAGTGGCCTTACAATTGGGCCCCTGTCACCCAGTTGCAAGACCTGGATGCAGTTCCTGGCTCCTGCCTTCAGCCTGGCCCAACCCTGGCTGTTGCAGGCATTTGTAAAGTGAACCAATGGATGGGAAATCTCTCCCTCTCTCTGTCACTCTTTCAAATAGATTAACTTAAAAATCACAAGGCCAGAACTGTGGCATAGTAGGTTAAACCTCTGCCTGCAGCATTGATATCCTATATGGGCATCGGTTTGTGTCTTCTGATCCAGCTCCCTACTTATGGCCTGGGAAAACACAAGATGGCCTAAATGCTTGAACCCTTGCACTCACATGAGACACCCAGAAGAAACTCCTGGCTTCTGGTTTCGGATCCACCCAGCTCCAGCTATTGCAGCCATTTGGAGAGTGAACCAGAAGATGGAAGACCTCCCCCACCCCCCACCCTGTCTGTAACCCTTTCTCTCAAATAAATAAATAAATTTAAGATATTGTTTTAAAAAAGAGAAATTTTTTTTCTCAGAGTTTTAGAGGCCAGAAACTCAAGATCAAAATGCCGGTATGGGGGCCAGCATTGTGACACAGCAGGTGAAATAACCACTTGTGACTCCAGCATCCCATATCAGAGCATCAGATCAAGTCCTGGACGCTGCACTTCTGACCCAGCTCCCTGATAATGCACCTGAGAAAGCAGTGACAGATGGCCAAAACAGGCAAAACAGGCAGTCTCTTCGCTACATTTCCAGGAGACCACAACAGACCAAAGCTAGGAACAAGCAATGAGGACGGAGGCCTGGCAATGGTAATTCCACGTTTGTTACTCTTAGTAGGTAATACTTCTACATTCGGCAGTTTCATGTAGCATCTGACACATGTAGGGATTCAATAAATGCTGAGAAGGAAAATGAAATAACTAATGCTTTATGTACAAAGAGAAAATGAGCAACTTTGAGGAGATTTAATGCCATTTCAGAAGACCAGAATATTAGCAAGCCACCTCAGAATAAGAAATTGTCCTTAAGTAGGCTCAAAACCATTATTAAAATAGTCTTAATTAACTCATTTTTACTAGTTTCATATTTTCAAGTCTATTGAAAAATGCAAGAAAAGTAAAGAAGATCTTATACCCTAAGTTGGGATAACCAGACAAGCAACATTTTCAGAAAAACAGAATTAAACGCCAGCTCACTGAAACAGATCATAAATGCTGACAGAGATCAGAGGAAGGTAGAAGAATGGAAATGAGAACAGTCAGGTGGATGGGAAGAAGTCGGGTTCCAAGCTCATCTTGAACAGACACTAGGACATGGGCAAGTGAAGCGAGTAGGGAAGTGAAGCCAGCTACGTTGACTCATTACCTCCTCTACCCCTTCCAATAGACACTGTCTGAGTTCCTTCTGAGGGGCACTGCATAGAGGTGTGAGGAAGGAAAGTGTTTGAGAAAGAGGATTTACATTGACTCTCTTGAAATCAGCAAGCCTTCTGCTAATCACTTCACTGTGAGTCCAAACTTAAGAAGTCTGTTGTCTACTAAAAGAAATACAAAGCACACCAGTCATGACAGGACAAGGGAAGAGATGAGATCTGCGGTATGAGAGTTATAATGTTAAGAAATTGCCAAGCATATTGACACTACTCTAGCTAGTGGAAATCAAGGAAGGCTCCACGGAGGAAAAGGTATGATTTGCAGGTCTTGAAGCTTGTATGGGATTGGAAATGAAAAAAGAATGTTGTCCCAATAGAGGAAGACAGGTTGAACCAGGCGGTGTGAGCCTTACATATAATAATGACTTAAATTGCACACTAGGGACATTGAGGGGGCACTTAGAGAGATAAAGAGTTGGAGTAGAGGTGTCAACTTTAGGTTTCCAAGGTGAAAATTTGGTGCTGAAGTCCAGAAAAAAAATCTATGTGGGATCCTTTGTTTGGAATGGGGAAGATTGGAAGAGGGAGAGATGATATGAAGCTGAATGGTAACCGAGGAAAGAGCTTCTGCAAATGTGATGTCAAAAGAGCAAACTTTGAGGCAATTATTGTGGCACAGCGTTAAACCACCACCTGGGATGCCACATACCATATCAGATTGCCTGGCTCAAGTCTCAGCTACTCTGCAGTTTTGATCCAGCCTCCTGCTAAAGTGCCCGGGCGTACTTGGGTTCCAGCCAAGTACTCCAGATAGAGGTCTTGGCTCCTGGCTTTGGCCTGGCCTAACCTTAGATTTCTCTCTCTCAATCTCCTTCACTTTCACTCCTCTTCGCACTCTCTTTGTCACTCTGCCTTGCAAATGAAAAAATATTTTTTTAAAAAATGGCAAATGGGTCCAGTTTCCATCTAATAGCCAGTGACCTGCTTGTAAGTTGGAGCAAAACTTTTATCCTCCTTGCCATTTCATCTTTTCATTTATAAAGAGTGAACACTGGACAAAATGATTTTAAATCCATCATTCTTATGTGGTTAACTTCATGTTTAAAAATGACACAATTATACCCTTGTTGATATTTCTGGACAAAAAATAAAAGCTTCTATATAATAGTTCCCTTATTACATGCTAACATCCTAAGTGATCCCTTTGTTAAATTACAAACACTCATAAATTGTGAATCCTCTGGGAAAATGACAAATTACAAGTGCATAGCCTCTTTGTCTTGTATTGGTCTCTAGTGTTTCTGATATGTTAAGGTCCACTCATATAAACATTTCTCTTTTTAATTAGGATGAGTCAAAAAGTATATAGCTCAGATATAATCTAATCAATGTTCAAATTACTGAACATCAATAGTAAGTTGATAATATTAGTAGATGTACCACTGAAGTTTAAAATTCAAGAGACCGGAATGCTCATCTAGTTTAACTGCAATTATAGTTTCAGAAATTCAGATATTAAAGTCATCACAGGTCAAAGTCATATAGAGACAAGATGGAACTCAATTTTCATTATTGGATCAATATACTATGCTGGGATCATAATGTACACAGAATTTATTTTTTAATAAAATAGATGCATAAACTCAGGCAAAGAATTTTGATTTGACCCTATCATCTAAATAAACCTAAATTTATATGTACATTGGGGAGACAGCAGACTATCTTGGGATTTGGAAATACAAGTCATTGCATTAGGACCTGGCTCAGCCACATGTGACCTTAAGCAAGTTACTTTAAACTCAGTTTGCTCACTGATAAATAGTGAAAACAATGTTGGCCTCCCAGAGTTTTTGCAGGATCAAAAGAGAAAAGATACATAAGGTACCTAGTGCAGTGTCTGATAGTTTACAAGTGTTCACTAAGTTTTCTTCTTTCTGTCTCATTTCTTAAGGAAGTCTGGTATGCACTTAGTTCTCCAAAAATGTGGCAACCTGAAATTTCTGATGAAGTGTATAACCTATAGTAATATTCAATAATATTATTGAAAGAATCACTTTTTCTGAACATGATATACTTGTCTATAGTACTTTTTGGAGTGGTGAGTAAGTGATGAATTAAATATGTGAATAACTAAAGGTTAGTGCAACACTGAAAATTCTTGCTACCCTGTGGGAGACCTGGAGTGGATTACTGGCTCCTGGTTTTAGTTTCAACCAAAGGTGTTGTGGGTATTTAAGGAGTGTATCAGCAGATATATACTCTCTCTGTGTCTGCCTGCCTATCTCTCTCTCCCCTCATGAGAGAGATGGAATAATTTCTCCCTCATGGGGGGGGGGGGGGGGGTGTGGAGAGAAACTCCAGTTCTATCTGAGTCCAGAACTGGATTTTCTAACCAGTATGTTAAACTACTGCCCCAGTCATAAAAGGAAATATCTCATGCTCATGGAGTTCCCAAAAGCAGCAGCCAGGGTTGTAATTTCTAAACTGGATGACTGTATTTATTATCACAGCATATGCTTTATCAATATTGGCTTTATTCCCATCTACTCTATTCCAAATTTGGAATTTGAGGTACTAAGAATGGAAAATAGGACAAGCATTGTTCCATGATTGCAATCTTTAAGCACACACCCACCCCCCCACACACACACACAAACACATACACATACACACAAGAAAAGAGCAACACAAAAGCAAGAACTCAGCTATGGAAAATATGCACCTTGAAAACGTCATCCATGATCAAATAGATACATACATTAGTGTGAGAAATGAAACTGTTAAACTAAAATGATGGGGATTGAAAAGGGCAGAGAGGGATGGCAATAGGAATGAACTAGTTCTATCTGTTGGGCTGCTATTTTACTCAATAGAGGCTCCTGGTGCAGATTTCTAAGTCAAAGGTGAGTCATGAATCCCATACAGACTACTCAGTCTCACATGTGGAAATAAAATCCCAAAAAGAGAACAAAAAAAAATCTTTGATAGATTTGCTAAGATATTATCCAGTCACCCCAACTGCAGAGAAAAAAGACTTTAGGAATTGCATATCTGGCATATTCTTCACAATTTTTCTGGAGATCAGTAGGTCACTCGGGGGAGGGGGAGGGCACGAAGAATACCAGAAAGGAATCATCTTTCCAGTAAGACCGTGCTACTCTCTTCCTATAAACAGTTTACTCGTTGACCTACAAAAGGCTACAATTTTTCTTAACTCTTAAAACATGAACTCTGGATTTAAAAAATGGAAAACTGGTTGAAAATATTCTAATTTCAATTTTGTAACCACAGAGTTCTCTCATAATTACTCCCTGCGAAGAATGCTCATCAGTTCCTCCTCTCTTTGGGAGATAGTGTCTGATCCATTAAGTTATCATGCTGAAGCAGGAAATTTATCATAATTTATTCTAGGATATTCTAAATTTACTCTGTTGATTCCTCTATGTAAACAATGTCTGCTGCAAGCGTGGGTTGGATGATTGAATGTTGGAACTGGCGCTGATTTGGAGTTGCCATTTGCTGAAAAGCCTCATGGTTGTTATATCAGTACAAACTCCAGAGATGTCTAACAAGGGGTTCAGTAGTTACAGAAAAAAACTGAGAGCCTTCCTCTATGTGATGCTAATGGGCCACTTACTCAAATATATCTTTTTGGAGAGGCAAGTCTAAAAGGCATAAGGTTAAAGAACATTAGAAAGTGGTTTGTCCATGTACAACAATATGACTTTTTGCACTGGAAAAAAATATCTGCATAAGAAATTTGTAGAAGACAGCACTAAAAAGCTCTGTTAGGGAAAATATATTCAATGACAAAATTAAACAATGGTAAATTTTCTCGTAATTATAATAGAATCTTTAAATTAGAAAAAATGACTTGATTTTTAATTTGCTATATTTCTGTTAACGAAAATAGCATTTAGGAATTTGTTTAATCTTATCTAAAGACACTGAGCATTTACTAAAATTAATGACATCTGACTTTTGCTTTCTTTGAGACAGTACTCCTTGTTCAGCTACCTTTTTTCTCCCCTATGTTTCTCTTGCTTCCTTTCCAGCATATGTCTGTCATAATTACTCTGGTTATTCTCAACCCTCAACCATCAGCATTAATAAATAATTTACTTTTTTCTGATTCTGCATTTTAAAAAAAATTTTATTTCTTTATTGTCATGTTATTTGGAAGGCAGAGAAAGAGAGACAGAGATCTGCCAGTGCTGGACCACTCCCCAGTTGCCTGCAGCAGGAAGGCAGTGTAAGGCAGGAGTCCAGGCATGGAGTCGTCACCTGCTGTCTTTGAGGGTATGCATTAGCAGAAAGCTGGAATTGGAAGCAAAGTTGGGGCTCAGACTCAGGCACCCCAATTTGGGATGCAGGCATCCCCAGCAACATTTCAGCTTCTGCATCAAATGCTTGAATCTCAATTTTACGTTTAAGCTTGTTCTTTTCTATCTTTCAGAGTAAATTGATATAAAACCTCATTTCTATGTTTTTCTTTCTGATACAAACTTGCTTGCTTTTCTTTGCTCCCTAGTTTTCCCCTGAGGAAAAAAAAAATCAGTTTTTTCCCTACAAATCTTTGCATCAGGCTAATTGTCTAATATACTAAGCTTCTTTCTGAATGACATCAATAAAAGGTTAGAAGGAAGTATTACAAAAGTATTTCCTCACCACAGCTTTCTCTTGTTTCTTTGGCTGAGCTCAATTAAAATGCACGCTTTATTCTGATATCTTCTCTAGCACTGTTTTATTTGTTTTATCAGTAACATTGTTGCCTCATTGAATGTATTGTTCTTTTTTTATTTATTTGAGAAGTAGAGTAACAGACAGTGAGAGGGAGAGACAGAGAGAAAGGTCTTTCTTCCACTGGTTCACTCCCAAATGGCTGCAACAGCCGGAGCTATGCTGATCTGAAGCCAGGAGCCAGGAGCCAGGAGCCAGGAGCTTCTTCCACGTCTCCCACACTGGTGCAGGGGCCCAAGGACTTGGGCCATCTTCCACTGCTTTCCCAAGCCACCGCAGAGAGCTGGATAGGAAGAGGAGCAGCCGGGACTAGAACCCGGTTCCCATATGGGATGCTGGCACCACAGGCCAGAGGATTAACCTACTGCGCTACAGCACCAGCCCCTCATTGAATGTATTGTAAACTAAATTGATAGTTACCAACTACCTGGAATAAAACTGTAACTGGTCTGGATAACTCATGAAATTCTAAGTGTATTCACAGCCTCATTCTGTGGTTAATGGTAAGGCAAACGTTATTACTACATAAATCTGACCAAAAACTGGATGATCCAAGACGCAGCCCCTAGGAAGTTGGACATAAAGAAGCTCACTTGCCTTTATGGTGTCTTCATGAGATACTCCACTCAGTTCAATAGGAAAAACTAACCCTACGTCCATCCTGTTAGGGCAGCTAACTTTTCCTGTCCCAGGCATCGCACATAATTCTTCCACTCTTTCCTCTTCACTTTCCTTTTGCCCCGTCCTCTGCCATAGCTTCATGTTAATGTAGTTATTTTTCCAAGATCAGATGAGATTGGGAGTATAAAGGGTGGCATGGCCATAGACTGCAGGTATTTTTAATCTCTTCAAACTTCAGGATTGAAGAGGACTTCATTTTCCCCACACAGTTTTAGCTTTAAGTGTGTTCTTATCAAAGTTTCTTCTCCATCTTTGCTCTTCAGAACGAACAGATATAATGCAACATCTGATTTGGATATTTTGGCTCCATTACAAAATTTACTTGTTTCCTTTTCTCTCAGTTCTTCCCTGCTGAAATATCCTCATCATTGCAAGGGTTGTTGGGCAATAAAGGTTAAACTCACACAGAAGAGACTAAATGGAACATAGTAGAAATCTACGGGGAAACAAAATGACCAGTTCACGAAGCTATTTAATACTAAATTAGGATTATTCCAATTTCGACAAGGCCCAGGAGTTAGACGCACTCTATCATTTCTGAGGTGTTTCTGTCTTTCCATGCTTTCCACTTGTATTTACCAGAATAATAATAATAATAATAATAATAAAACATTTACTTAAAACCTCAAACAACCTCATGATCACCCTGTAGCCTCCAAGAAAAATTTGTTCTTCAGTGAGTTTACATTACTCTCCTCTACTACCCTCAGCCCTGTTTCACCCAATTACACAATGATACCTGAGTTGCCTTCTGTAACATCAGCAAGCATGATATTGTTTTAGCTCTAAAACACTAAGATGAGTGTGGATTAATCGTGGATATATCTCTCTAAAAGTACTTAAGAATAATTCCTTGTGAATGTTTTTTGGGTGTATATTTTATGGATGGCAGGGACTCAAGCTCTTAAGCCATCCTCTATTGCTTTCCCAAGCCATTATCAGGGAGCAGGATTGGAGTTGGAGCAGTGCCCATCTTTGATGCTGGTGTCAAAGGCAATGGCTTTACTCACTATACCACAACACCAGCCCCAATGTCTTCCATTTTAAACCATCAATTATATGGCAATTCTAGTGCTGCTAAAATTCCTTAAATATTACACAATTTATTCTTCATGGTGACCCTTCAAAGTCAGCATTATCACCATTTTAGAGATAAAGAAATTGATATCCAGAAAAGATAAGTAACTATCCCCCAAAAACCACAAGATACATATTACTATAAGCTCTTAAATAGGTAACCAAATAGATCTGAGTCAGCCAAAGATTATGACTAAGATAATGACAATGTGTCTTCACTCTTCACTGACATTTTTTGTATGCAATGGCATACATTGGATATTGTAAAATGTAATCTAAAAATGGACCATTTAGCTCCTTTCCATCACAAAATGAGTCAAAAATGTTATTGTACAAACTTTGAAATTATCCAGAGTTTGTAAACTTTGATAGAAAAATGTAAGTATAAAATAAACAAGGCTTGGGGGCCAGCATTGTGGTGCAGCAGATTAACCCACTGCCTACAATCCCCAGCATCTCATCTGAGCACCAGTTGAAGTCCCAGCTGCTCCACCTCTGGTCCAGTTCCCTACTAGTACACCTGGGAAAGCAACAGAAGATGCTCCAAGTACTTGGGCCCTAGCCACCCATGTGGGAGAACGAGATGGAGTTCCAGGCTCGTGGCTTTGGTCTGGTCTCTCTTTCTCTCTCTCCCTCTCTATTTCTCTACATTTCAAATAAATAAATGTTTTTAAAAATTAATAAAATTTAAATAAACAAATTGATTACAAATATTAGAGTGTCTCTCTGCAGAATTCTTTCAATGATAGAAACAGATCTCTTTTGTACTTTTGGAAATTATATTTTTTACATAGAATAAACAGAAGTTTTATTTTAATGAGAGTGTATGTGTTTTTACCACTACAAACACACACTTTGTTCAATTTGGAAAGGTCAACCTTAAAATGAGATGTAGTAATAAATTTAAGCTCTGGCAGATAAGACCATAGCAATTTCACTTTTATCTCCAAAAGGTGGGATATCACTCCGTATTTAAATAGAAAAAGACATGGTAAATGCATAATCAAAACATAGAAATAAAAAAAACAATGTTTACAAGACATTCAGGGAACAAATGGGGAGACTTACAAACAAGCCTGGGAAAGAAGATGCAAAGAGTATTTTTATCTTCGCAGTTGGAGGTTGCAGAGACACAGAAGGCATCAAATCGGCCCATCAGTTTCACCAGAAGCACTTGAATCTCCTAGAGATTTTCCCACCAGAGCACCCTGAAAGCTATTAATATCCAGCAGCTCACACCACCAGGAAGTGGTAGTGCTGAAACGTGAATCCTAGCTGAGGGACTCCAAGAACACCAACAACAACAGGAAGAGCTCAGAGATAAAGTCACACACAAAATAGTACCTCAAAGGGTTTGGAAAGTGGAGAACGTTTGGTGAAGTGGCTAAGACATCGCTTGGGATATCTGCAACCCATATTGAAGTACTGGAGTTCCATCCGAGATCTTCTGATTCCAGCATTCCTGCGACTGCACATTCACTCAAGTATTTATTTCCTACCAAGCATGTGGGAGACCTGCATCGAGTTCCTGGTTCCCAGCTTCCACTTGGACCACCCCTGGCTGTTGCAGCATATTGGGAGAAACTAACCCTGTCTCCATATCTCTACCTTTCAAATAAATTTTTAAAAATTAAAGGTCCATGGAAATTTAGATTAAAAGACAAATTTAAGCACAGATATTGTGGCTCAGCAGTTTAAACCACAATTTGGGATGCCCACATACCATATGAGAATTCCTGGGACAGTCTTGCCTCCATCTCTGACCCAATTCCCTGCTGACGTAGCCCCAAGGCAGCAGACTGTGGCCAAGTACTTGGTTTCCTCCCTCCCATATGGGAATCCCAGATGGAGTTCCTAGCTTCTGGCTTTTGCCTGGCCCAACTCTACTTACTGGTATTATGGGGAGTGACCAGGAGATAGAAGATTTCTGTCTCTGTCTGACTATCCATCTCTCTGCATGTCAAAAAAAAAAAATTAAAGTAAAACATCCTATATGGGTGCCACTTTGTGTTCCAACTGCTCCACTTCTGATCCAGCTCCCTGCTAATGGCCTGGGAAAGCAGCAGAAGATGGCTCAAGTTTTTGGGCCACTGCCATTCATGTGGAAAACCCAGGTGAAACTCCTGACCCCAGATTTCAGTCTGGCCCAGCTCTGACTGTCTTGGCCATCTGGAGAGCAAAGCAGTAGATCGAAGATTTTTTTTTAAGATTTATTTATTTATTTTAAAGACAGAGTTACAGAGAGGTGGGGGTGGGGGTCTTCCATCTGCTGGTTCACTTCCCAGATGGCTGCAACAGCTGGAGCTGCACTTTTTTCCGGGTCTCCCACACCTGTTCACGGGCCTAAGGACTTGGGCCATCTTCTACTGCTTTCTCAGGCCACGGAAGTGGAGCAGCTGGGACTTGAACTGGCCCTTATATGGGATGCCGGCACTGCAGGCAGTGACTTTACCCGTTACGTCACAGCACTGGCCCTAGATGGCAGATTGATCTCTCTCTTTCTCTTTCCCTGTAACTCTTTAAAATAAGTAAATCTTTATGAAAATAGAAAAGCTCATATTTTTAAAAGTCTTGAAATCCACTAATTTCAGAAAATCTTTCCCTAATCAATTACTTACAGGAAAGGATTTTTAAATTCTTCAGAGACATTCCCAAAAGTATAATACCCATTAATACCATTAAATACCCATTAAAAGTATAATGCTTTAGTTTTTTATATAAATTTCAATGATTTAGTGAGCAAAGTACCGGCACAGCGAGAGAGCACCAATGAGTGGTCTTCAAAGAATGTGCATTTACTCTGAATTTTTTTTTTTAAGATTTATTTGTTTGACAGGCAGAGTTACAGAGAGGCAGAGGCAGATGGAGAGAGAGGTCTTCCATCCTCTGGTTCACTCCCTAGATGGCCTCAATGACCAGAACTGCATTGATCAAAAGCCAGGAGCCAGGAGCGTCCTCTGGGTCTCCCACCTGGGTGCAGGGGCCCAAGTACATGGGCCATCCTCTTCTGCCTTCCCAGGCCACAGGAGAAAGCCGGATCAGAAGTAGAGCAGCTAGGACTCGAACAGGTGCCTATATGGGATGCTGGCACTACAGGCGGCAGCTTTATCTGCTATGTCAGTGTTGGCCCCCAGTAAAATACTGATTAAAATGCAGGGGTAGAGAGCAAGATGGTTGCAATAAAAACTATCAGTTACCAAAGTTTTGCATTTTTTTTTCCTCAGATGTGTTTGCCTCCTAGAGAACCCCAGGATCAGATCACTTTAGAATACATTCCAGCTTATTGGTTGGCTTTGGATGAGTTTATCTGTTTCTAAATATTCAGCTAGAATGCTCGGGTAATATTGAGGGATGTCAGACCTGCTGGTCAGAGAAGCCATGTGGGAGACCTTAAAAATGCTGCTTAAGGGAGAAATGCCTTTTTTTTTTTCTTTTTATAAGTGAATTTTGGACCTTTTCAAAAACCAGTCAGACTTCAATCTGACTCTGTGATTTCTCTGGATTTGTTGAGAATTGCCATGTAGAAAAGGCAATTTCACATGAATTGGTCAAACATGGCATTTGAGCCAGACAAGTTGAGGACAACACACACAGAAACAAGCACACACACACATTCAGGGGCACAATACACACATACATACATGCCTAAAAGTGCACCTCTATCTATAGTGATCATTTTAAATCTTTTTTTTTTTTTTTTTTTTTTTTGACAGGCAGGGTGGACAGTGAGAGAGAGAGAGACAGAGAGAAAGGTCTTCCTTTTACCGTTGGTTCACCCTCCAATGGCCACCGCGCTGATCCGATGGCAGGAGCCAGGTACTTCTCCTGGTCTCCCATGGGGTGCAGGGCCCAAGCACTTGGGCCATCCTCCACTGCACTCCCTGGCCACAGCAGAGAGCTGGCCTGGAAGAGGGGCAACCGGGACAGAATCCGGCGCCCTGACTGGGACTAGAACCTGGTGTGCCGGCGCCACAAGGCGGAGGATTAGCCTAGTGAGCCGTGGCGCCGGCCCATTTTAAATCTTTATATTTTAAAATTTGTTTATAGTGTTTTCCTAAGCTACACAAGTAGGAAATGCATGACTGTTGCCTGTCCAGTGAATGACTTCCAGTGAATTGCTCTCATCTAAGTGATCTGGAGGAAGTAGCTCAGCTGTGGACTTCTATCTCACTATCTTTAATAAGTCCTACAATTACGTTTCCACTTTCAATAGCAAAATTGGGGATCTTAGCATCTGAGGAGGACCTCAAACATCAAGAAAATAATCAGTGCAATATGAGAAAGTTTCATTTGCCATTGTTCTTTGACCAAAAAATACATGCATGCCTCGAGTCTTTTTGAGATAAAATAAAAAAGAAGGAGTTAATGATAGTCTACAGATTAAGTCACTTCAAACATTAACTTCAATTCAAACTTTGGAAAAATGGAAAATAACATTTTTCTGAATACCTCAATGTTGAAGAATAAAAGAGACATAAAAATGATTTGTGAAGAAATGATTTTGCGAAATTGGAGATAGTTCAGCAGACGGATTGGGGTATGATGAGAAGAACAAGATTAAAGTTATATTTTAGAACCATAGCAGACAAGAATACATTATGAAAAGAGTTAAGCTAAGGAGAGGAGAGTTAAAGGCATCATATGGACACACTAATGCAGTTTAGCATACAACACTGCTAGAACATCAGTGCCTTCTGGAGGGGAGCTTTCACACAAACACAGCAAGGTGCACACAGGTAGATCAATTCTCAGTATACCTTTTAGTGTGTACTTTTTTTCTGATCCTCCCACTCCTTTAAGAGTACTGGATGAAAGGAGGAGGGAGGCAATCCCATTCAGACAGAAAGGGGTATGCTATATCTCTAGAGCTATCTAAAGGAAACGTTTGAAATGAAATTTCTTCTTTGTTGAAATTTAAAATAACCTTAAAGACTTAAAATTAATCAATTTGCATTTCAAAGTATTTATTGTCTTACACTTTATAATATATCAATTAGTTGAATAATGGTTATAATTTAAAAAGAAAATGCTTCATTCTACATATGATAAAGACATAATTTCATATTTTTCTGTAAATTTGAAGAAATATGATGGGCATACTTTCACATCTAAGATATACATTATATATACATATATATATACATTTTCCAACATTTACATAGATAAAAATGTAGCAAACAAAATCATGTACAAATAGTCAAAGAATGAATAGTGACTAGGTAAAAGCTGAATATTCTCAAATCAATATGCTACATTCTTCATACATTGCTGTGCAATTACACACATACCCAAAAGTCTACAAGTATCCTTAACACTTTTTCAAGTCACTATGTACATTTTATCCAAATACTTTGGTTCATCCACCTCCTAGAAATACACTTGCTCTTTATAACCCTTATAAGTTATACAAAGAAATAAAATCTAAATATAAACAAGTTGAGCCTTGGGAAAGAAAAAACATGTATGAGATATCATAACATTATGCCAACCACTCCAGTATCCAAATTTAATTACATATAATGATTTGAAAGTGCAAATTAATGTTGACGGTCTCATGCATCATTTTGTCATGAAGATAAGTCATACAAACTGCTCATATAAACAACATAATTAGTGCCAAAATAATGAAAATTCTAGAATTATGGTAATATATTATCAAACCCTGACGTGTTGCCCTCTCACCACATTTTCAGTAACCATTATATTAATAAGAAATTAAGATTTGGGATATTTTGTTATAGTTGTAAATAAATTTATACGTTTAAAATATAGCCATATATTATCAAAATAAAAGATGCTGATATATATTGAGGTAGAAAGAAACCTCTTTATAAAATGCTGCCAGCTATATTTTCTAGTTGTGTAAAAAGTAACATTTAATGTAAATTTGTTTACATATCTCCTAAGAAGAAATTCATTATTTTCTTCAGTCATGAATGACATCCAAAGAAATATGTGTTTGCTTTAAAACACAGCCTACCTACAGCTTTGTGGAAGCACTAAACTTTGTATTAGTAAGATCAACATAGTAGAATACTTTTGGTGTGTTTCACAATATGAATAAGGAAATTATTCATTGACTGTCCAACAATGTTTTGATTTTTTTAGTTCTGTTCAATATTTGATCAAGACCCTACTAGATATAAAAAGAACATTAAATAAAGATCATAGTCAAGAAGTAGACACAAGTTTAGCAGAAAATAGTTTCAGTGAATAAGAGATGTGTCAATTTATAAATTACACTCATGTAGTAATTCATTCAAAAATACCCAATGGAAACCTTTTTCAATGGTGATGGAAATCTAGAATTTGGATGGCTTAATTTTGTTTGAGAGGGGGACAGAATGGGGTGACAAAAGTAATATTCAAAGTCCCAATTTACATTTAGTGGCAAAATAATTAGTATATACTTAAAAATTTTAAAAGAAAGCAATAGTTTGAACTCAAAGCATCATTTTTCTCCTTAAATTGTTTTCACTTAAATGTTAAGATTTTCCTCTTCTAAGAAATCAACTAAGGAGTAAGTACAGCTGTTTTCTCTTTGAACATGGGAACAGCTTTTACAGTAGTTAGAAGTTTGATTGTATCCAGAGACAGATTCTCCCAAGGGAAGATTTATCAACTAAGTCAGCATCAAGTACAAATATTCACAAACAGTTGTTAAAACAGTTGTTTATCAATAAGAGGGAAGGACATCTGCTCTGCCTCTTAGGATGGGGGAAGGGAGCACAGGATATTTTAAGTTTATTTCTTTCCTCATAAACTTTACATATTTATCTCCTGGGCTCATTTATTGTGGTAATCAAGAAGAGAGAACTGGAGAGGACACAGAGCACATTGATCACATGGCAAAGGACCAATGTGGAAGAAAGTAGCCCAACAAGATCAGTAAGAGAGGTAAGGATATAGAAATAGAAATGGTATTGGAATTAGCATATATGAATGTATTATTTTATTATAGCAAAAATATTAGTATACTATAGTATTATATGCAACTTACACAATATTAGTATGTTATAGTAGCAAATATTGGTCATGTTGGGTTAGAGTTTGGGGAATTTGGAATGGAAGGAAAAAAAACATGCAGGTAAACCATGTTGCATGAGAAGCTAAGAGGTGGGAAAGAAAAGTTTAAAAAATATTTTGCTTGTGTAACGACTTTGGCAATGTCTTTAGAGACTGAGCATATCACTTATTTTGCCTATTGGACCGATTTCTCTGTTTGGGACAACCTCCATAGGCTGTCCTCAGGTTAAGTTCCTTGACCAGCCTTTCCCTAAGGGTCTTTGCCTCTTCCACAGTAGCCCTGAGTCCTCTGCCCTTCTCCATTTTATGTCACTGATAAGGGTCTAACATTCCAACCCCCACAAACTCAGATTGTGACTGTATTTAGAGATAGGATCTTTAAAGTTAATTTTAAATGATGTGGAGTCTAATCCAATATGATTGATATTGTTTTAAGAAGAGGAGATTTGAATACAGACATACACAAAGGAAAGACAATGTGAAGACAAAGAAGACAGCCAAGGAAAGAGTGACTCAGAAGGAACCAATCTGCCAGCATCTTGATCTTACCCTCCCAGCCTCCACATTTGTGAGATAAGAACATTGCTAGTTAAGCTATCCAGTCAGTGGTAATTCATTATGGTAAAATAATCTACCCGCTTAAAGCCTGCTTTTCTTTGCTTCAGTCTTTTCAGTTTCCCCCCTCTTTTCCTCCTCACTGCCCATGTAACCAAGGTTCTTTGTGCAATGTTTCTCACAGGCTGACAAATACTACCACATACCTTAACTCAAATGAGGGCCAGTTGTCAAGATAACGCAGACAGCCATCAAGGCTGTGAAGTTGTCAACAAAGGGGCAGGCTGCTGTAATGAATGGAGGGAAGTGCTAGGAAAAATTCATTCAGAAATATCAACACTGGGCCAGAGGAGGAAGAGACAGAAAGAAAGTGCTTGAGAGCTGGATAAATGTTTCAGCTGTGGGATGAGAAAAGGGGAAAGGAAAGTATGATTAATTAACCAAGCCCTGTGTACTTCACACTCTACTAAATTAAGTGCTATATGTTTATGATGGCAATCACCCTGGTGATTCTAGAATATAGAAGATATTAGTATTATCATTAATTCATTGATGAGGAGCTGAGGTTCAGAGAGGTCAGGTAACTTCCTCAAGGTCTCACGGAAAAGGAGTAATTGAATCATATATCAACCCTGATCCACCTTCCTCCAGATTCTGGTCCCATAATAATTATACTCTGCCCCAAGTTTCTAAAACAGATGAATAAAGGAAATTCCTAACTAATACATATGAGAAACCAAGGCTCAGTTGGTGTGGCTACCCGTCCAGGATAAAGAACAAAGACAACAACAAGAAGTAAAGGGAAAAGAGGCATAGGAAATGACACCAAGGACCAAAGTGACCACCCAGAAATTGAGCAAGTCACCTCCATGTAATCTGTCCTAATTTTGATCTTTCTCTTATTCTCCACACAAACACTGAATTTAGGTCAGATTTTACACACATGTGAACCTCCTTACCTAATTCTCAGCCACTACATGATTCCTTTTCTTACTGTCCTGGCTCCTCCTCCCCACCCAACTTTGTAGTTGCACTTCACAGGTCCTAGGAATATTTCTACTAGGCAGCCACTGTCTACCCACATAGGGATCCTCATCCATAGAACCACTTCCAACTTGCACTGACTCCTCACCTGCTAACTCACAGGCACCTGCTAACACCCAGGCATGTCTGGGGTATCTGATGGCAGTGACACTTTTCACCAGGCAAAATCTGCCTTTATGAAACACAGAAATCATAGTGAGTTAAGCTCCAGAATTTTCTTGAGCCATTAGGAACATAGGATTTCGTTTCCCAAGAAACTCTTTGCAAATTTTGCAAATTATTTGCTTTTGTGGCTAAAATAGGCAAATTCAGTAGAAAGAAAGTTCAAATGGGAAAATGCTGGCAAGTAGACCACAACCTCATAACATTCCCGAGTTCAGAGTATTTGAGCCCTAACTATTCAGTAACTGCTTTTACTCTGTTCTGGTTCCTGCAAACTAATGTTGATTAAATACATTTTCAGTGTATGTGAATAGGATTTTGCAAGATGTTTATGAATTCAAAGACTTTACTGGGGACTAAAAGCCCCTGCCCTAGACATACCACTTGCAGGGCTCATAAATCAAATGGCTAGCCCTTTCCTACATCTTCCAGATGCAGTCACAAATATTTTCAGTTGGCACAACAGCAAAAGTGAGGAAGGGACTTTAAGATACATCCACATTTTAAATATAATCATTCAAGATATTGTACACATGAATTTGGATAATGCTTAAAAACTTAAATTTTTAGTCTTTCCCATTCTAATTTTCCTCTTGTATAATATAATTTGAAGCCATAATGGCCTTGGGCTAAATATTCAAACCTTCAATAGAAGGTTTTTTTGGCACATTTTAAGATTATGGTGTTTTATTTTTCATTATTACATTCCAAATCTGTCAGTTTTACTTACATGGATAAGATATCACATAAGTAATATGAAATCTCAATACTTTATTGTTTGCTTCCATTTTTTAAAATACTACTTTAAACACTTAACAACAAGGCATGTAGAGTTCTCTGGAAAACATATTCTACTCTGATGGTCAAAATTTGATGTCATAAAGAAATTTGTATTTATCGTGCTGATCAGGGTTGTGAATGAATTTTACAACCTTATCATCCAGTTTTGACGTTTTTGAAAATATATTCCCATATACTAAACAACTACCATAAAAAGTATCAAAATATTATGTCTCCTTTAGCCCTTCAATAACTTATTTTTGTTTCCATAATTTTTAATAGTAGGGTTTTTTTTGCTGTTTTGTTTTTGTTTTGTTTTTTTTATTTGACAGGCAGAGTTAGGCAGTGAAAGAAAGACAGAGAGAAAGGTCTTCCTTCCGCTGGTTTACCCCCCAAATGGCCACTGTGGCCGGTGTGCTGCGCTGACCCAAAGCCAGGAGCCAGGTACTTATCCTGGTCTCCCATGTGGGTGCAGGGCCCAAGGAGTTGGGCCATCCTCCACTGCACTCCCGGGCCACAGCAGAGAGCTGGACTGGAAGAGGAGCAACCAGGACTAGAACCCGGCACCCATATGGGATGCCGGTGCCGCAGGCAGAGGATTGACCAAGTGGCACCAGTCCCAGTAATAGTTTTTAAACCCCAAATTAGTTTATGCCTTCATGGTATCATGTCCAGCCATTAATCAAGATAACAATTACAATTTATAGATTAACCTCAGTTATTAGAAATTTGCCTCTTTCTGGAAAAATGTGAACACAACTAATTTTATTTCACATTTTGCTACTAATATTACTCATTTAAACATTTTGCTTAATAGCACTTTAGAACATCTACTGAACAAAAATATCTCAGTTTTATTCTACAAAAAATCTTTTCAATGTTTGGAGTAATTTCAGTTGATCATAATGGTAAAAGAAGGAAAATTATTTCCATCCTAGCAATTTCTATGGTAAATTTCTATGGACTGTCTTTGTATCTCAGGCTAGAGTGAAATATATCAAGAAAAACATTTTTTTCAGTAGAAGTACAGATATGCTTCCTCTAAAAGAGGTGACATAGATGGTCTAAGACTCCAGAAAGGAATGTTCCAAGCTGCTGACTACCCACAAGCCAAAGAAACAAATTGATATTAGTGTTCATAATGAAACTTTAATAGTTTTACCAAAAAATGTAATTGCTTACTTGTAGTACATGTTAAATGTCTCAGGGCTAAGAAATTGTCCAGAACTTGAGGTACCAATAGGGTAACTTCCATGTAAAGTCTAGATGAATTTTTACTTAATCTTATAAAAGTAGATGAATATTAATCTTATAACTAAACAATCAAAAGATATTTTAAATTGCCATATCAATTTAGTTGTTATTTTGTTACAGATTATTTGTCTCCTTGTAATTTTTGACAATAATAACAGAGAAAAGATTGGCCTTTCTGTAATTCTTTAAAGTACATTGACAATTATCTCTCTATCAGATTGAGGCAACAAATATGAGTTAATCATCTACAGAAGCGACAAATTCTATAGGAAGATATAGAAATATAGTCATCAGAAAACATATAAAAATGAAATAGAAATGATCATTACAAGAAGGAAAATGAATAAGGACAATAAATAGTGTTACATGAGCTCAAAAGAGGAACCAATTTTTTTTTCTGAAGAACATCAGGATGGACTTCTAATACAGGTGCTGATTGGGCTCAATGTTCAGGAAGGTCGGAAAATGATCAGGTGAAAGAAAATGTGGTACCTCTAACAAAGAGAACTGAAAAGGAGGGAAAGTGAATATAAACCAACTCAGGTAGAAAGGCCAAATATCCTAAGTCACAAAATCTTCAACTGCTGACAAATCATGCAAATATTAAGATAAGGGAGATTTGTTTAAATCTAAATCAAACATGTGAGCAGCCAATACTCTATTTTAAATTAAAAACCAATAAAACAAAAACAAACTTTCTCCAAATTTATGATTTAACTAACAAACATGAGAATTAATAAATGTGTGCATCTTAACATGAACACAGCAAATTGGACTAGTGTCAGTATATTCCATTCTTAAACTAACCCTTCTATCCATTTGAGTGACTTGAGGAAAGTTATTAGATGGGACTTTCTGAGTCTCATCTACAAATAGAAATAATAAAATCTACTTCCCAAACTTGTTGAGGCCAATTAAGGAAAATTAAATTAGGAAGAAATAAACACTTTCAAAAATGTATTATCAGGTAACAAGGTTAATATAGCAACCTACACCCATGTACCATACTGAAACATAATGCTTGCATTCCTCATTTTTTCACACACTTGGAAATACACATACATACACACACACACACACACACACACACCCCTATAAGTGTACACACTGGTATTTGATCTTCCTTCCTCTCTTCCTACCTGCCTTCCTTTTACTTTGAGAATAGAGTGAAAGAGATCATGTATAAGGACATACTGAACAGAAGTATTATTTTTTCCCATGGCTACAAGAACTTTCCCACAACTTGATCTTCCTTCCTTCCTTTATTTTTCACATGAGAGAGAGGAAGAGAGAGAGAGATTCTATCCACTGGTTAACTCATCAAATAGCTACAATAAACTCAGGAGTCAGGACTTAATCCATGTTTCCCATATAGGTGGCAGGAGTTCAATCAGTTAGGCCGTTACTGCTACCTCCCAGGATCTGCATTAGCAGGAGGCTTGAGTAGAAACCAGAGCCAGGTATCCAACTCGGATGCTCTGATAGTTGTCTTAACCACGAGGCCAAACACTGCCACTGATCTTACTTTAAAATAGAGCTTAGTCTCACTCCCAGCAAACATTTGAAGACCCATTGTAAACATCTATCAGGGTTCTGAATCAACTATTTTAGTCAGAAGTTTAATGTCATCTAGAACAGTGACTACCAGATCCCCAAGCTACACAACAAAGGCTTCTTATGTAGATATTAAGAACTTTCTGTGTTTCTTATTTCTTCTTTTCAGTCCTGTAAGAACAAAGGGTTTAGGCCAGCGCCGTGGCTCAATAGGCTAATCCTCCACCTGCGGCGCTGGTACACCGGGTTCTAGTCCCGGTCAGGGCTCCGGATTCTGTCCCAGTTGCTCCTCTTCCAGTCCAGCTCTCTGCTGTGGCCTGGGAGTGCAGTGGAGGATGGCCCAAGTGCTTGGGCCCTGCACCTGCATGGGAGACCAGGAGAAGCACCTGGCTCATGGCTTCGGACCAGCGTGGTGCGCAAGCCCCAGCGCGCTGGCCACAGCAGCCATTGAGGGGTGAACCTACGGAAAAGGAAGACCTTTCTCCCTGTCTCTCTCTCTCTCTCTCTCTCTCTCACTTTCCACTCTGCCTGCCAAAAAAGGGGGCGGGGCTTCATTTCCACCAGGAATGAATTATCAATTAGAATATAAGATTAATGTGCAGTATAGGATACAAGATGTATATATGGAACTCTTCCTTACTGTGGATTATACTTTTAAAGTATTATTTCATTGTCGCGTCCCTCGACCAGCAAGGAAGACACTACCCGAACTCTTCTTCAAGCAGTTTATTCAGGAACCTTGAACAAGCTTCTTCTTCCGCCTCCTTCCCTCTCCCATCCCTCTTATAGCCATCAGCACACCAATCAAAAGCAGCCAAGTGGCAAGGATTGATAGGTACAGCAATGCGGAAGCCAGAAGGGAGCTCAGCCATCTCCTTATTAGGAGTTGTTTGTTTCTTGCCAGTCCTTCCGGGAGAAAGGAGCCGGCACCATCTTTAGGGCGCGATGCAATGGCTCCCCACATTTCATTGTTTTACTTATTTGAAAGGCAGAAAGAGGTAGGGAGGAAGAGAGAGAGAGAGAGAGAGAGAGAGAGAAATCTTCCACCCACTGGTTCACTCCCTAAATGCTTACAATATCCAGAGTTGAACTAAGCAAAGTCAGGAGCCTGAAACTCCATTTTGGTTTCCTACATGGGAGGCAGGGACTCAAGTACTTGAGCTATCAACTTCTGCCTCACAGGATACACTTTAGCAGGAAGCTGGATTGCAAGAGGAATAACCAGGATTCAAACCAGGCACTCCAATATGAGATGTCGGCATCATAAGTGGTGGCTTTACCTGCTGCTCCACAATACCCACCCTCTGTGTTTATTGCAGCTCAATTCACAATAGCTAAGACATGGAATCAACCTAAATGCCCATCAACAGAAGACTAGATAAAAAAATTATGAGATATGCACTCTAGATAGAATACTATACAGCAGTTAAAAATGAAATCTGCTCATTTGCAACAAAATGGAGGAATCTGGAAAACATGCTGAGTGAAATAAGCCAGTCCCAAAGGACAAATAGAACCCAGTGTTCTCCCTGATCTGTGACAACTAACTGAGCACCTAAAAGGAAACCTGTAGAAGTGAAATGGACACTATAAGAAACAATTACTTGATCAGCCCTTGTCCTGACTGTGGAGGAACAACTTACTACTTTGTTCCTTTTAGTATTTGTTTGTTCTACTTAATACCATTGATTGAACTCTTTAATTAACACACAATTATTCTTAGGTGTTTAAATTTAACTGAAAAGTGATCCTTGTTAATTATTATAGTGGGAGTAAGAGAGGGAGGAGATGTACAGTTTGGCACATGCTCACTCAGACTTACCCCTAATGGTAGAGCTAGAAATGTTGCAGAGGATTCCAATTCAGTCCCATCAAGGTGGCATGTACCAATGCCATGTTAGTCAAAGTGATCAGTTTAAGTTCATAATTGGTCAAAATGATAGGATTAAGTGTCAAAGGGATCACATAAGCAAGACTAGTGCCTGCTAATACTAACTGCTAGAATTAGAAAGGAGACAACGATCCAACATGGAAATCGGGATACACAGCAGACTCATAGAATGGCAGATGTCCTAAACAGCACTCTGGCCTCAGAATCAGCCCTTAAGGCATTCAGATCTGGCTAAAAAGCCTATGAGAGTTTCTCAGGTATGGAAAGCCAAGACACTGTGGCAAAAAAAAAAAAAAAAAAACACCTAAATGAAAGATCTCTGTGAGTGAGATCCTAGTGGAAAGAATGGGCCATCAAAGAAGGAGGTACCTTTCTCAAAAGAGAGGAGTGAACTTCCACTTTGACTATGGCCTTAACTAAATAAGATCAGAGTTGGTGAACTCAAGAGGCTTCCATAGCCTTGGCAGCTCATGACAAGAGCCTCGGGTGATTACTGACGTCATAAATAAGAGTGTCAATTGTGAAATCAACAACGGGAGTCATTGTGCACTTACTCCCGATGTAGGATCTCTGTCCTTAATGTGTTGTACTATGTGAATTAATGGTAAAACTACTACTCAAACAGTACTTTATACTTTGTGTATCTGTGTGGGTGCAAAGTGGTGAAATCTTTACTTAGTATATACTAAGTTGATCTTCTGTACATAAAGATAATTGAAAATGAATCTTGATAAAGAATGGGATGGGAGAGGGGGTGTGAGATGGGATGGTTGTGGGTGGGAGGGAGATTATTGGGGGAAAAGCTACTGTAATCCAAAAGTTGTACTTTGGGAATTTATATTTATTAAATGAAAGTTTAAAAAAATAAAAATTTTTAAACTGTTTTAAGCAATCATCTTGTAATCTTTTAGGCATGTATTTACTTGAATAATGTAAAGTACTATCTTGTTATACACTACTAATATCTAACTTGTAGAATTCTTAAATAAGTAAAAAATCTTTCTAGAAAGAATAAAAAAGTCAGGTGTAAAAATACCATATCATAGACTCAATAATAAAATTTCAAAATCTGACAATATAAAGTAAATATGCACAGTGTTGCTACATACTACTCTAAGAAACTGATGACATAAATATACTTTTATAACTAATAAAATTTAAAAAGGGTGATTTTTAAAGCACTATTTTCAATTGTGCTTGTTTTGTATCTGTGTTTTAATTAAATGGATTTTTGAGAAAAGAAACGGATCCACGTCTTTTGGATACATGTATCCTAGATTTCATGACTAGGTCATGTAATAACAGCAACGCTAATTTTCTTCCTCTAAACAATCATCTTTCCTAACATCTCTGAATGACACAATCCTCGGCAAGGTCTTCATCAGCTGTACAGCTGTGACATGAGACAATGTGCAGCATAATACGTTCTGCCACATCTGCTTGGTCTCTCACATATTTAACTAAGCTTTCATCTCCAAAGTACAAAGATAATTACTTCCAGAAGTCACTGAAAGGAGCTTGACCATCGGAGGAAACGAGGTGTTAGAGATTTTCTTGACTTTCAGTGAGAAAAAGTGAAAATCTCCAAAAAGAAGGATCTGCGAGGTTCTATAGAAAATATATGTTTTACAGTATCATTTTTGTCTTAGAGCACAAGAAATCTACTACATGTCAGGAAATCTGACAAGGGCGTAGGGAGGCATGCTGTTCAACAGTCATTCCAGTGATTTGGAGAGTTCCATGAGCATTCAACAAGGGAAGAGTGAACATATTTTGAAATACTGAAAAGCCCCTAGTGGTGACTTGGTTCTAGGCTTGGCCTAGAGTTGCACACAAGCTCGGTATGAGCAAGGTGGACTGTAATAAATGAACATTAGTTTAAACACTTCTGCCAACAATGTTACAATTTCATTATATCATATAATACATCTTATAAATACATTATGTGATTATTGAATTTCCTTTTATTAATAAAGCAAGTCAAAATAGTTAATTGTTTAAAGATTTGCAGGTGCTTTTCATTTTGTTACTATCATGACATTCAGAAATCACCTAATCATTTCTTTCAACCCATTCTAGATGACTCGAGTATGACAAGATATAAAAGTAATTACCAGTAGGAATTTCATCTATTTGTGGTAAATAATGAAAGGATTATTATCATTACAACTAAGCCAGAAAAAAAATCAAATAATGAAAGGATTATTACAGTTTCAACTAAACCAGAAAAACAATCAACAAATAGCAGAGACACACTTGATTGTTATCCTGTTAAAGACATAAAAGTTAGAACTATTCATTTTTAAAATGACATGTGTACATCAATATTTATCTCAGTATTCTCATGTTATTAACCACTACTTTGTAATGATTATCATTACAATAATTATTTAAACACATATTATATGGGAAACACTTAACAAAGAACTTTGCTTGCATTAGTTTTTATCTCACTTTAATATTTTATTATGGAAACTTTCAAAAACAATGAACTCCCGTGTATCTAGTCATTCATTTCTACACTACAAATTCATGGCTAATCTAGTTATTCCTATACCCTCACCCATTTCCTCCCATCTATACTATCTTGAAGTAAATCCTAATCCTTCTATGATTTCATCTATATACATATGTACATCTATATACATACATTTAGTATGCAATATTTACAAAATAAGGATTCTGCTTTTAGAAACAGTATTATTTTACACAAATCCAAAAACAATTTCATACATTTGGCATTCAAATAGCCCATTTTTCAAATGAGGAAGCTAAATCTTAGAGGTGTAAAGCATGCTGCTCAAGGTATACAGCTAGTGCGAATCTCCTTGTGATTCAACTACAGCTCTCTCTAAATCCAAAATCCAAGCCCCTAAGCATTACACCGACCTTCTAATATGTGTCAATTTCCCTCTCTAGAAATTTTTCCAACTTTCAAATTCCTTAATACTTACTGGTTCTTGGCCGGCGCCGCGGCTCACTAGGCTAATCCTCCACCTTGTGGCGCCGGCACACCGGGTTCTAGTCCTGATCAGGGCACCGGATTCTGTCCCGGTTGCCCCTCTTCCAGGCCAGCTCTCTGCTGTGGCCAGGGAGTGCAGTGGAGGATGGCCCAACTCCTTGGGCCCTGCACCCACATGGGAGACCAGGATAAGTACCTGGCTCCTGCCATCCGATCAATGCAGTGCGCCGGCAGCAGCGCACTGGCTGTGGCGGCCATTGGAGGGTGAACCAACGGCAAAGGAAGACCTTTGTCTCTCTCTCTCTCTCTCTCTCACTGTCCACTCTGCCTGTCAAAAAAAAAAAAAATACTTACTGGTTCTTCATTGTAATAAATACCAGGGAAATAAACCATATTGTTAATTGCTTCAGGAATAGAGACATTTATTCAGGGTGCTAGATGACATGGATTTCTAAAGACCAAGGTCGTCACAGAAATTATCATGTGCTCTTTCTTGCTATTTTCAGTTCATTGAAACTTATGACATAGGCAGACTTTTGAGATTCCATTTTTAAGGTTAAAAAAATCTGTTGATTGGTACTCTCAGCTACAGAAAGTGTACATTTATAGTCAGTCCTCATTCCTGACATATGGCTAGTGGCCTAGGGTAGAAGGTTGATCAAGAAATGAATAAGTCTCAAGAATTCATGCTTCTATGGGCACCGGTTCAAGCCCCTGCTGCTCCTCTTCTGATCCAGCTTTCTGCTATGGCCTGAGAAAGCAGTGGAAGATGGCCCAAGCCCTTTGGCCCCTGCACCTGCGTGGAAGACCTGGAAGAAGCTCCTGGCTCGTGGCTTTGGATCTGTCCAGCTCCAGGCATTGCAGCCATCTGGGGAGTGAACTAGTGGATGGAAGACTGCTCTCTCTGTCTCTACCTTTCTCTGTAACTCTGTCTTTCAAATAAATAAAAAATCTTAAAAAAATAATTTATGCTTCTTTACAACTTCAAACTCTTCTACAACATTGTGTATGTCCTAACAAGGTCAAGGTAATATATGGATGCTGCTAGTTGGTGCCAGTTTTAATTTGCTTATTTTTAATGTTGCCATTTTATATAGATACCTATTCAAATAACGCATACCTTTTAGAATAACTATTCACGCCTGAGTATGAATTACTGTACTACTCGTAAAGCCACCATGGAATTACTCTTGTTCAGTGAGTATGAAAAATGATCACTAACATAACATGAAACCTCTCAGCTGAAACAGAGCTACATCACTGCAGCAATTTCCATACAAATTATCCAAGACATCATTCTGACCTAGAGAAACATACCTGCAATTTACATTTGCTAGGCTACATAGACATGGCTGTCACAGAGGCAGGCAGACAGAATAGTCAAGGGTTCAGTAACAAGGGCGATTTCTTTGGGTGCATGATGATGGGATGTCTAAGGAAATGGGACTGAAAGAAGGGAGAACTGCTAAATCTTTGCTTGAGGGTTTTAACATTAAGTCCAAGTCTTTTGAACACATTAACGATTCATTCCCTTCCAATACATATTAATCTACACAAATACATCAAAAATACCCAGCGACTTTTCATTTCCCAATTGATTTTCCTTTCATTAGGCTTACTGCTTTATATCATTCAATTTCATAAATATGTACACGCTCTGCCTATGTACATGGTAAATACAAATATGTGTAAATCCTAGATTTTCCCTGATAATCTGGTAGAGTGAAGCTTACTGATGACTAGAACACATTGTAGCATAAGATGTCTCTTATGAGATGAAAGGAAATATATGTAAAGTGTCATTGGTTTGGAGATGAAGGTCAAAGGAAGGGCTGATATTATCCAACTGAAATGTAATTTTAAAATCATGGCATTTAGGACACTGTCTATTTGTCTATTTTACTCCTATTGTTGCCAAGTCTAAAAGAAATGTCACCGAAGTCATTTGAGGTGGAAAACTAAGTTGGAGATCCTAGGTAAGTAGTGAAATTATGTTATTTCTTGGGCTGATTGGTTAGGTTATTGAACAAGGAATTGCTTTTAATTATATATTTGCATTGTTGTTCCTTAGGATACCTCAGTTCATTGATTTTCACAATCAGCCTGAAAACATATGTCTTATTTATTAGTTGTAGTAATAGTATTTATCATTTTCTGATATATCCTTTGCTCTTTTGATATATGAGTAGATTTTTTGAATTTTCCACACTTTCTTAAATCAGGTCCAGTGCACAGGACTTTCTTGCACGCTTGCAAATCAAAATTCAGTAACACACAATTTTTTAGTTTCTGAACTTACTGTTTCTTCATTGTTCACAGAAATAACTACAGACTTTTCTTCTTCACCTTGAATGGTGAGGATGGCATTGTCAATATTGTGGAAAAAAATACTGAGGACATGAATATTCTAGAGATATCCTTTCAGAAAAGTCTGTTTAAGGGAAAAGTGTAGGTAGAAGACATTGAAAAGCATACCTTCCTTAGATGCCCTTCCTGTAGTGTATCAGAGTAGGGAAAAATAACATGACCAATGAAACTAAATGAAATAGGAGGATAAAAAGCATAGTTTTGGGCAGACAGTATAGTTTGTAGTCAAGAACATACATTCTGGAATTGAGTCCCAGTTTTGACATTAATTCGTGATCCTAAATGAGCTTTTTAACCACTTGCAGCTACAGTTTCCACATACTCATGCAAAACACCTGAAATAATAATTGTACCAACCAATTGGACTCTTGGAAAAGCTAAAAAAAACCTTGGTAAAACATCTTTCACAGCATCTGGCAGACCATAAATTCTCACTAAATATTTGCTATTATTATCATCTTCAAGTTCAGTTGGCGACTCATCTTTATAAAAAATTTTCTAGGTAGCATAAATCATAATCAGTATTGTACATGAGTTTACTAATGACATAAAAAGTTAGCAATATCAGTCTTACATATTCATTATGTTGTTGATATGGCTTTTGTTAGCCAAGTTTCCTAGAAACAGAGCCCAAGGGAAAGGATATTTGCTATCACTTTAGTGAGAAGTGCAATCCAAAAACACAGGAAAAGATAAAGGAGATCAAACACAAGGTTATACATTATTGTGCTGGATCCAGTTCAATGATAAGCTAGTTGATCACTTTCACAAAATATCTCTGCTGCACATTTAAGAAGCTTTTGGATATGCAACGTCTTTTTGGGATAAAAGAAGAGAGAAGACCATGTCTACCAGTACTCCCCACTGTCCAAAATTTGCCTCAAGGACACTAACACTGAAAACTTGCACACAGACATTGGCTTCCATTGGATATGTTAGCATCAGGCTAGTTAGTAGCAGGGAAGGCATAGGACCAGAGCAAAAGGGGCCCACTGAGGAAAGTGAGCTGATGCTTTGTGGGTATGCCCAAGAGCAACATGAGGAAATGGGGAGCAACTGGCACAGTGGTCCCATTCATCTATATAAACAAGGATACTTCCTGTCAGAGAGCAAGGGGAGTACAGGGACCTGGCAGCATGCATTAGTTGACTCCAATATGCATACATACTAAGAGTTCTGAGTTAGGAGAAGCAAGATAGAGAATTTGTAGATTAATCAAAGCATATCTCTTAATGTTGTAAATTCTCTGGGCCTGGGATATATCAAGTTTCTCTGAATTTCTCAAGCACTCATAAATGCCTCTATATGAGAGTTTCCATTAGACTCCATGAAACCTACTGCTATAATTAATCTTCAGGATTTTCAAACGCCATTTCACTGTACCATGTGAATGAGCAAAATAACAAAAAAATCAGCTGAAAGTTGTAACATAAAATAGTACACTAAGAAAACATGGTACACAGAAAAGAGTTTTGTCAATTATTGCTTCCAGAAATAATGCTAAACATTGATCATACTGAACAATATTTGTACAATAGTATTTTTAGGGCTTCTTTGAAAGTGGGTATTTAACAGACATTTTACTGTGATGCTATGATCCCTACATGAAAACCAGAGCTATTTGGGGGTATATCATATGCCTAAGAAATATCTACTGTATTTCAAAGAAAATCTAATATAATTGGAAAGCTTTTAGTGTGTATTTTGATTAAATTTGAATGGGAAAATAAATGAAGGGGATGAAAAATATTACCAAATGCAGACAAATTGCCACTGTAGTGATGTAATTTTGAGCATACGATCCACAAAAATGATTTCAGTTTTAGAAATGGTAAAGAATTAGAGAATGGTGAACTTGATAATCTAAAGCCGTTCTCTATCAAGTAAGAGTAAAAATAGACAAAACACACATAATATTTGTTTTAAGACATAAGAATGCTAACATGATAATGGTAAGTTACTGAATCAGGATCTTGGAATATGAAAGAACCAGAAAAATGAGCCCAGCCCTGTGATCACTTTCCACCTGTTCTGTGGAGAGTTTTCCCCATTAGTTATAGAAAAGAAAGGTGGGTGAATTTGTGGTATTTTCTTTTTGTTGTTGTTGTTTTAAACTATTTATTTATTTATTTATTTGAGAGGTAGAGTTACAGTGTGAGGGAAAGACAGAGAGAAAGGTCTTCCATCCACTGGTTCACTCCCCAAATGTCCGCAATGGCTGGAGCTGTGTCGATCTGAACAGGAGCCAAGTGCTTCTTCAAGGTTTCCCATGTGGGTGCAGAAGCCCAAGCACTTGCGCCATCTTCTACTGCACAACATATTCTACATCCACAACAGAGATTGTGGATGGATTGGAAGAGGAGCAATCGGGATTAGAACCAGCACCCAAATGGGATGCTGGAGCCTCAGGCAGAGGATTAACCTACTGCACCACGGCACTGGCCCATGTGGTGTTTTCACAGAGAGAACAGAAAGAGTCCTAAGCCTGCCAAAGGGATTTCCCAGGTGCATTACCTTCCTGTTGTGTTTGAACTCTGAAGGAACACAACTTCCAATGATAAGGGTAATTTGTAAGACAAGTGGTGGTGAAGTATACGGGATTTGTAGAAGCTACTCTTTAGGGACTGGTGTTGTGGCATAGCAAGTAAAGCTGCTGTCTGGGATGCCAGCATCCCTTATAGGCTTGGTTCAAGTCATATCTGTTCCACTTCCCACCCAGATCCTTGCTAATAGCCTGGGAAAAGAAGCAAAATATATCTCAAGCTTTTGGGTCCCTGCCACAGACATGGAAGACATGGATGAAGCTCCTGGCTTCTGCCTGGCCCAGTCCTGGCCATTGCAGTCATCTGGGGAGTGAACCCATTGACGGAAAATGTCTTCCCCCTCCCCTCATCTTTCTCCCACTGTAATACTGGCTTCCAAATAAATGAACAAACCTTAAAAAAAAAGAAGTCACTGTTAGCATAAAATCATATCAATACCTGCAGTGTGTCAAGATGATCCCAGCTTGCTGGTGTTACCAGGTGCCTGATGGAAAGAAAAGTAAATTCTCTCTTTAAATTATAACCTTATCCTATTTTTCTATAATATTTTAACAGCAATATTGAAAACATAATGTTTAGGCCGGCGCCGTGGCTCATTTGGCTAATCCTCCGCCTGCGGCACCGGCACTCCAGGTTCTAGTCCCAGTTGGGGTGCCAAATTCTGTCCCGGTTGCTCCTCTTCCAGTCCAGCTCTCTGCTGTGGCCCGGGAGGCAGTGGAGGATGGCCCAAGTGCTTGAGCCCTGCACCTGCATGGAAAACTGAGAGGAAGCACCTGCCTCCTGGCTTTGGATCGGTGTGGAAAAGGAAGACCTTTCTCTCTCTCTCTCTCTCTCTCACTGTCTAACTCTGCATGTCAAAAAAAACAATAATAATGTTTAGAGAACAAATTTCTTAAAAATCAGACACAAAGAGCAACAATACCAAAAAAATAACAAAAATAAACAGTAGAAACCAACTGACAGTAACTCCAAATTTTGAGTTGATGATTACTATGTTCAAGTATATAGCAGAGGAAATCTCAAATTTTAATAGAGCATGAAAATCTACTTTTTTATAATTTCATAATAGAAAATACAATTACCAAAGTTGCAAGCTCAATGGACAGGTTTTATCTATTAAAGATGCCTAAACAGAGAATTTGCGCACTGGGATAAAAGTCAGCACAAATTTTTCAGAGTTAAATATGGAAAAACTAAAAAGCAAAAGAGAAAATAAAAATTATAAAAGTATATTGTATAAGAATCTATCATAAATATAGTATGAATTCCAAAAGAAGAATAAAAAGAGAATGAAAGAGCTGCTATGTTTAAAGAGAAATGGCTAAGAACAGTCCAAACTGTCAGAATAAATCAAACTACAAATGCAAAAACAAAAACACCATAAGCAGTACAAACACAAAAAAATACCATCAACACTTCCTCACAGCATAGCAAAATTGATATTGAAATTCATGCTGAAAAACAATCCCAAAAGAAAATTTGTAAAGCAAATTAAAGAGAAAGAAATGAGATGCACATTTGGTATAGCACTCAAGATGACAGTTAAGATATCCACATTTCGTATCAGAGAACTTGGATTTACTACTCAGCTGGCTCCTTATTTTAGCTGCCAGTCAATGTAGACCCTTGGAAGCAAAAGGTGTTGGCTCAAGTAGTTGAGTCCAGCCATCCACGTGGGATACCTGGATGTATTTCTCAGCCCCCAGCCCTGGCACAATCCAGCGCTGGATGTTGTGGGCATTTCAGGAGTGAACTAGTAGATGGGATCTCTCCTTCTACACCCTTTATCTTTCATAAATTTTTAAAAATATTTTTAAAGGGAAATATTATCTTCAAAGGAGCAACAATTAGACTGACAGTTGATACTTAAACAGAAATAAAAATGAACAACAACAACAACAACAAAAAAAAAGAGCAAACAACAAAACAAAAACATAGGAAGCTATATTTGAAGTATTGGAAGGGACAGGCATTTGACCCAGTGATTAACAGACCATTTGGGATGCCTGTATCCCACATCAAAGTGCCTGGGTTCATTATTTGCCTCTGGCTCCAAATTCCAGTTTCATGCTAATGCAGAACTTGGAAAGCAGTGGAGATGTTTCTAGTTATTGGGCTCCTTTCACCCTTGTGGGAGACCTGAATTGAGTTCCCACCTCCCAGTTTCAGCCCAGTTCAGACATAACAACATTTACAGGCATTGGGGAGTAAACTAGCAGATGGGAGTGCTCTCTCTCTCTCTTTCTCAAATAAAAAAACTAAAAATTAAAATGAAAAAATTTAAATTTAAATGTAAATAAAAGAATTATCTAAATTAGAATTATATATATAGCAAAAATATTCCCCTAAAATGATGATGAAGTTAAGATTTCTTCAGGCAAAAAAGCTGAGAAAACACATTTCCAGCTGACTTGCATTTAAAATATTGTTCAAGCTAAAGAAAATTTATTACTGAGGGAAACTCCAAGATTCAAGAAGAAATAGAGTACAAAATTTAATAAATATGTGAGTAAATCTAAATGAATTAAGTATCTAATAAAAACTTCCATGATAAATGTCTTCATGACATTGCTATCCAAAGACTAAAACATGGAAAGTAGACACCAATCTCAAATGTGCCTCCAAGTTAGCATACCACAGTCATGAGTTCTGCTGTCCTCACTGTAGAGCTCTGTTGTCTAACTTAGTAGCCACCAGCCATGTATGGCTATCATGCTCTTGAAATATGGCTAGTCTTAATTGAGATATGCAACAAAGATCAAATGCACATTGTGTTTTGGAGAACTTAATTTTTTAAAAAGGAAAAGAACATAAGTTTCTTAGAATGTTCCTCTAAATATTGAGATAATACTAATATACTGGCTTAAAAACGTTATTAACTTCTAATTTCATTTGTTTCTTTTCACTTGTTCAAGTTTGGCTATTAAACCATACAAATCTCTGCACTAGGTATTGTAGTGCGGTGTTTAAATGCCACTTGGGATGTCAGCAATCCATATTGGAGTGTCTGAGTTCAAGTATCTATTCTACTTTGAATCCAGCTTCCTGTTAATGCATATCCCAGGAGGCAACATGTGATGACTCAAGTACTTGGTGTCCTTCTGTCCATGTGAGAGACTAAGATGGACTTCCTGGCTCTTGGATTTGGCCTGGTCCAGCCCTGGCTGCTGCAGAAATTTGTTGAGTGAACCAGCAGATGAAAGATTCTCATTCTGTCTTTTGAATAAAAATAAATAAATAAATAAACAATCTTTTTAAAACTACTACAAATCTTAAAGTTACATATTTTGTATTACAAATATGTTTTGTATTACAAATATTTTGTATTTGTTATTACTTACTCTTTTCTTATTGAGTAGTAATATCCTAGAGCATGAGTTCCATTACTGTGAAATAGAAAGCTTCATATATGATATACAGGTGGAATCCTTGTAATCACTGTACAGAATTTATTAATGAGAGAGGTGATAACAATTCATGAACAGTCTATAAACCATGATTGTGAATGTTCACACAGAAATGTGAATGTTGAAACAACGTAGAGAGAAATGTGGCTAAAAACATGATATGTCTGTATATGTAGATGTAGGAACTCAAAGCACATTTACTATGCTTCTCCTTGTGAGTATTCAGTAACCAGTTACTTGGAAGATAAAATTTGTTCCATGACATCATCTTTTCTCCTCATTCCAAGCCCTGTTCCTTTGAAGGTCAGCATGTGCTGAGATAAATAATTTGTGCTTTATAAGTTTTACCAACTGCTAGTGAGAACAAAAGTAGTTCTACACTTTTCTATTCATACCCAACATGAAGCTGGAAATATGATCCAAGGACTACACTGACATCTCAACTTGACAGAAAATGACATGAAGTTATGGGAAAATAAATGAGAAAATATTTTCATGTGTCCCTAAATTAACTCCCTAAAGTATTTCTATGTTATTTTTTCAAATTATCTGGTCTAATATTTATGCTGATATTTTGCATCTTCAGTCGTTCACAACCTGACCCATGTCTCCCTTGCAGGCATCTCACATTGCTTTCCCTGATCCCCTTATACTCCAGAAACACCAACCATCTTACACTTCCCCGAGCATGCCATTTTTGTCACACTTACACTTCTTTCAACATGCTTTTCTTTCTATCTGAAGTGTTCTTCCTTATTTCCTCTGGTGGCTTAAATCCATTTTTTTTTTATCACTAAAGTCAAATTTCACACACTCATTGCAACTTTATCTCATAAAAAAAACTATTCTGAAATCCACTTTAAAACATTTTTAGAGGCCAGTGTTGTGGTGTAGTGGATAAAGCTGTCACCTATGACACCAGCATCCCGTATGGGCACCTGCCCAAGTCCCAGCTGCTCTACTTCCCTGCTAATGTGCCTGGGAAAGCGACAGAAGACGGCCCTCGTCCTTGGGCCCTGCATCCTTGTGGCATGAGAGACCCAGAACAAGCTCCTGGTTCCTGGCTTTAGCCTGGTCCAGTCCCAGCTGTTGTGTCCATTTGGGGAGTGAACCCCTGGAAAAAACATTCCCCCTCTCTCTCTCTTTCTCCTTCTCTAATTATGCCTTTCAAATAAGTAAATCTTAGAAAAAGAAAGAAAGAAAGAAAGAAAGAAAGAAAGAAAGAAAGAAAGAAAGAAAGAAAGAAAGAAAGAAAGAAAGAAAGAAAGAAAGGAAGGAAGGAAGGAAGGAAGGAAGGAAGGAAGGAAGGAAGGAAGGAAGGAAGGAAGGAAGGAAACATTTTTAGACGAGTCTATGGAAAACATGGGAAAATAATGTAATGCAACCTAAAATCATTTCAAGAATCTTCTTTATATTTACTCAAATTCAATGAACTTGTGTTAAAAGCCTGGAGTATACACACACATACTTATGTATGAATATTTATTTATGCTTTGAATTGCTCTTAGAGAGTGATGTGAAGAATTCCGTATACACAAATGTACATTCACATACAGATATTTGTATTAATCAAAAGACACTATATTTGTTAATATTTTGTAAATATAGAGACCAGTGTTGCAGCTTAGCAGGTCGAGCTGCCTCCTGCGAGACTGCATCCCTGTGGGCACCAGTTAGTGTCCCAGCTGCTCCACTTCCTATCCAGTTCCCTGTTTATGGCCTGGGAAAGGTGGAGGAGGATGCCCCCCGTGTTTGGGCCTCTGCCATCCATGTGGGACAGCCAGATGGGCTCCTGGCTCCTGGCTTCATCCTAGCCCAACCCTGGACATTGTGGTCATCTTGGGGGTGAACTGGCAGATGCAGGATCTCTTTCTGTCTCTCCCTCTCTATAACTCTGACTTTCAAATAAATAAACAAAATATTTTAAAAATAAAAAACATTTTAAAAACAAAGTAGCTGGAGATGTATTCACCATTATTTTGTTAGATTTCCTCATTAAAATAACCCAAAAAAGTTAGCTTGTGATGAAAAAATAAACTACACAATATGCAAAGGGATACCAAATAAAAAATTTAACTTCAGTCATGACAACAAAAACATGTTTCTCTTCAAATTTAATTTCCATGAGAAACTATTTTAAATTAAAACCTTCCAGTGCAGTGTCCTTCCATTTTTTGCATTTTTACTACCTAGAGATCAAACAGTTTGACACAGCAAAAATTCTGGTGAGTTAGGAAGAAATGCTGATTGGTTTGTTGGCTGGTGGCCGGGGGAATGTTATGACCGAGTAATTATGTGTTCTGGACAGATGCATTAACCAGGCTTGGGGCTGGAGCCACTGGATATTATTTTAGTCATAAGGCTAGAGGAACTGAATCATTTTCAAAGCATTGGCTGGCTGACATTGCCTTACTGATGCCTGTTCCAATGACTCTTTGGCAGTAACTTCCAACGCTGCACTTATGACATGGTAAACAAAAACTACATTAAAGGTTTGCTTTTTAATCATGAAGGAGTTCAACATTTCCACTAAGCTCTCTTGCTATTCATCAAGTCACATTGAAAGCTATTGCAGATTTTCACAGTCCTGTCTTCTGATGGAAGAATTGTAGCAATGTAACAGGCAGAAAGGTTTAGTTTTTCAACAGTGATAAAAATACACATAATCAAAACTTCAAATGGTAATACATTTTTGGAATTGCTTTTATCTGAAGACTGAAAGTTGATAGTGTCTTCTACCTTTTACTAATGATTTATTTCAATTCACAAAATGCCATGGTTTATAAAACAGATATGGTTAATTATTAGAACACTGGACAATACAATAAAATAACACAATCAACATGATGGCTTTTGGCTTCTAGGAAAAGATAATAAGTTCCATAATCATAAATCAACAAACAAATAATTAGTTGCAGATAACTTATGTGTTGCCTAGAATTAGATTTTTATTGTGACATCAGGTACTAATTAGAAATGTAATAGTCATTCAATGTGAATTTACTTAGTTATTGTAAATATCTTACATTGATTATTAAAAAGCTTAAATAATGCAACTTTAATGTGATTAAAGATAGATGTATCTTTGCCTTCTTATAATTGCTTGGGATTATGAAGTCAAAGTGAAATTTATCTCAAATGTAGCACTACTAAAGTGAAATGCAAGTAATGAAATCAGCTTTTCAGGACATTTGGAAGTCTTGAATAATTTTTTTCATATTAGTAAATGATTGATTTTAATACATGGCAAAGTAGGTGATCAGTGGATGATGGGTAAATGAGTAGATAGATATAGGTGATGCTTACAGATAGATAAGATAGAAATGTTTCCTTGCTTTTTATTTATTTCTAGAGTTTAACAACTTCAAGCTTTAAATCGATTCAAGATATTCATAATAATAGTAATTCAGAATATACTTCAGAATTAGGTGTTTTTAAACACATTCTTTGGAGATTCATCATTTTTGATCAATTTCTTGATATTAACATGCCAATGTATGTGTGTGTTTTGTTTTGGTTATTCACAAAGATCCAAAGCACAAAATGAAAAATCACTTTTTCTGATAGAACTTTTTAACTCAATTAACCATCAGAAATGAGTCTATTTGAGTAATAATCAATGCATACATTACATGTATATTATATGTAACTATCAGTGCATATGTTATAAGTAAGCCCTATGTCTTTTAAACAACTGAAATGAAATTTCTAAGAAAAATACTGTAAAAGATAATTTTAAGTTAGTAGCAATGCATTCATATTATCACTAAAATTACTGTTTAAATTTACTATTTAAATGGAAGTATTAGTCCCTTTTAATAGAGTTATCAAAAGTCAGGAGGCCTTAGCTAATCAGAGGTATTTATTAATTTATTTTCTTAAGAAAAATTTAGAAAAACTGTCTCCTAAATCAAGAAGCAGCTCAAAAAACAGGACAAAAATAGACATTTTGCATGCTATTCATGCAGAATTTACTGAGAGAGGATCTTAAAATGTATCTGAAAATCAAAAGTCTATCAATGAAACTACAATAATAAAAGTGATTAATGAAAAATTTCTTTCCTTTAACGTGGAGAATGAAGAGATGGAAAGGAGAAAATTCAGTTGACAGCGCTAAATATATCAATTGAATTGTTTCAAATAAAAATACATCTTTTTAAGAAAAGATTATTATTCCCAAATACAGAAGATATAAATTTTATTATATTAAGGATTATATTAAAGTATTAAAATACATAAAATTACTATACTATTATAATTATTATACTATAATGAAATATGATAGTCTACATTAGAACTTAACACATAACCAATATAATTAACTGGAAAGTTTTTATAGAGAAAGAATACAGTCTTATCCTAACATAGAGATCACAGTGCAGAAATCTCTCATTTTTTATTTCTACTTCCTTATTTTTACTAGGGACTCAAATAGTCTCAAAAATACAAGTTTTTAAATATTTTATTCATTATAATAAGCTTCTTTTGCTTAAAATTATTACTAATTCACTAAGAGTGTTAATCAATGGAGCAAGGTACTTGTCACTTAAATCAATCATTGGAGAAAAAAGTGGCATATGATTAGTGTAATTTTGTCCTAGGTGATGTATCCAATTCCTTTAAGAAAAAACAAGATATCAAACCAGTAGTAGTGTTGCTTAGATCACAAAATTTTGAAAACTAAAATACTTAATGTAACACATGCCACATAAAAGATATTTAAGAAATATCTTGAATGAATGGATTTTTTGTTTGCAAAACCTAGCCTTCAGTATTTGTTTTAGTATTTACTCATGCATTGCTTTCATTCAGTGTATGTACTGGATATTTATATCAATTATAATTATTCTATGTTTAAACGTAAGAAATTCTGAGGCTTTTAAAAAAGTTTTTATATGATGCTTCTTGGTTTTAAAGTCTCTATTCAATAAGATGTTTACCCTGGTGAAGTACTAAAACAAGAGGGGGTGAGTGGAAGAGGGCAAAGAGACTTTGAAAGAAAAGTCTTTGAAATAGCTAAGTATAAAATATGGTGAAAATGTTTAAAGGGATTTTATTACCATAAGCTGCAGTAAATGTGAATTTGGCATGGAGCAGCCTAAATTAAATACAGAAACTTACATAATATTTTCTCAGATGAACCTAATGAAAATACAATATTTAAGCAAATTTTTAAAAAGAGTACAAATAAAAGAATATCTGTTAATGGGAACTGATCCTTCACTAATGATTTTCTTAAAAGAAAAAAAAAAAAAGGTTCTTTCTACAGGGCCTAAAACAAGACAGAAAAGACACCCAGACACACATCTGTCATATGTTTGCTGCTTTATAGTTACTGCTTTAAGAAAGGATGTGAGTTATGAAGTGAGTCCTTTTGTAAACATTCTAATAAAGCCTGGGTAAGATATACAAGGCATCAAACCCTTCAAGCTGCTGTTCTTTAACTAATACTATGAGTGATATGAGTCTCTGAGTTACTACAACTACTCACAACTCCAAGCTACTTTATCATTTATTAAATCCCTTTCAGAAAACCTGTATTATTCTTCCATTTGGCAAAGAGGTGAGACCACAGCAGTGAAGAATCTATAGTTTAGAAGATGTCCTTGCTTTTTGGACAGAGGGGCTAATACAGTTAAATTCTAAGCCTGAACTCTTTTCACCCCAAAACCTCAAATGATGAATTCTACAGAGAATAACAAAGATGACGTGAACAGAGCACATCCTAAGCATTTATTCTTATGAAAGAGGTTGGTAAAGGGAAAGTCCCACAGAAAATCTAATTAACCTCCCACTACTTTACAAACTGTAGTTTTAAAAACTCCAATAAAGAGACATTAAGATTTTGAAAGTGTAAGACAAGTAAAGAACACTTTCTCTTGGTCTCACTTGTCCTTTTTTACTATTTTTAAATTAAATAATTGAAAATCTTTAAAATTAATCTCACAGACTGTTCACAGAACTTAGATTCCTTCCTATCGTCAGACGGTATGTTGCTGGTTTAATCCTGTTCCTAAAAATTCTAGTGACCCTTTGGTTTGCTTATTTTTATCATTCAATCCTGCACTAAAATCCACTCCCCAACATGAAAATGTTAAAATTATAAAAATCTATTCCAATAACCAATTGATGAAAATATTGTTTGGTTTGTAAGAACACTTGAAGGGGAGGAAATGATATGGCTTCGTTCTGAAGTTGAAGTAAGGAAACAGACTTGATTCAAATTGAAGAACTATTATCAAAGTACAATAATATTAAGAAGATTTTTACCAAAATATAACTAACAGGCTTTAAGTGTTTCATGATTATTTATAATGCTGCCAGTTGAAAAAAAATAAAATACAAACATAATAATAGGAAAAATAAACTAAAATCTAAGTGAGGGTTAAGGATATTGGTTTATAAAGTATATGGAATTACCTGTATAATCAGCTTAATGTTTCTGATCATCTCATAAGGGTTTATGTTCCATAAAATCACTGTTAGATTTAGTCCGTGAGTCTCACGTCATGGATTTGTTTCTATGCTCTCCAACAGAAATAGCCTATGGGAAAGCATGGCTTCTGCACAATTAGATGTTCAAAAAAGAAAACTACATAAAGCACTTTTGAGATTATGGAAATATCTGAATTCTTGGCTTTCTATGAACAATGCCAGTGACTCTGGGACCTCACCCACTTTGACTGATACTATAGAATATTTATGCGTGCATGACAACAAAATATGTTTCAATAAAAATATATTTGAACTAGCAAAGCAAAATTGCCTTAAGCTTTTGATCTGTCTCATGGCTCACATCTCTGAAAGTCTTTTCCTTTCAGCAGTTACATTCAAAAAGTCAAAGATATACAGCTGACCATTCAAGCTGAATGACACCACGATAAACTATGGTTTCTCCTGCAGATAAAATACATCATAAATCGATGCAACACTTACCTCATTTTAAATATTACTGTCTCCTTTTATCAGGTAACACTATATGACCTCCCCTTACCTCCCTTCTTCCCATATTTTACATGGGAATTTAATTCTATACCATGATCACAACCAGAAAATTTTTTTAATTAAAATAGGATATATGGCTTTAAAGGCTTAGGTTATCTGATAAATTTAATTTTAAGAAAAAATAATGAGGACATGCTGACTTCTTATGCCCTGGAAAATGCGACAATAATGGAATTATATCAATTTAAAAACTTTAATAACTCTTTATACTTAACTGCCATTTATCACATGATATAAAATAATAGGCAATACTGTTTAATAAAACAGAAATGCATCCACAATTAAAAGACAAAGAGATATTTCTGCAGAGAGTGTATGACAACATCATATGTAGCTTTTTTTCTTTAAAGTATCTCTTTGTGAATTACAGTGGCCTTATCAACACTGTGTCTCCAGTGAGGTACTTGATTTATGCTGCCCAGTGTCTAGCCAGAAGTCACTCTTTTTCAGGATACTCAAATCTGTATTAAACTCCCCAAACTGTTAAATGCCTAAATGTGCTTGTTTGACTCATGATTGCCATCTCCACAGCTCTGGCTGGGTGTCCTTTGTCCTGCCCGGCCTGTGGAGAGGTGGGCTTTCACACTTGGCTGCATTTCAGCGGAAGGGGGGCTCCCCTTGTCAGAAGAGAGGAGTTGTGAGTGAGGTACGCAAGGTCATCAGACTTCTGGCTGCCTGTCCGCCCTCGCCAGCGCACAGCTGCCCCAAGGCAGACATTAGTTCTGGCCTTCCAGATATATCAGTCTTGTTGATCACCAAGAAAAGATCAGTCACAAAGGCTTTTCCCAAATTCCAGTCATTTTTAATTTAAAACTGATCTTGGAATTATTTCACACAATTTTAAGGAGAGGCCCAAACCAACCAAAAATCTCTTTTCACCTCAATCAATCCTTTCAAATTACTTTTTGCCACACATTGATTACTATGTGACAGCTTTACATAAGTAAATAATATATCCTCTTTTAAAATAATATGAAAAAAGAAATAAATGCCTTTTACAATTCTATTAATTTTAAAGATTTCCATTGAGGTCATGCCTTCTGAGGGTTTTCAGATTAGCAGTGATGGACTTCTGTTAATATACAGCAAACTCTATTCTACCACTCCAGGTCCTATGAAACCATACCATGCATTTGCCACACCACTGCTGTGAGTTGACGTGGAGTTAATAGTCCAATCTGCAACCTTGAAACAGAATGAAGACAATTAGTCTTGACATATTCCCTCATTGGCTACTCTTAATTTCCACTCCTACAGCCTCACCGCTCTCTTATGGTGAGGAGCCAAGATTTGAATATTCTCCCAATCTCAAAATAGCATCACTTCTATGTTGTAAATCTCTTTTCTTTTTGCCCGGCTCAAAAAATTGGTGTCCTTCCTTTACATCAGTAAATCTCTTCCCCTGTAACTCTCTTTTCTCTTCCTCTCCAAGGATTTTGCATCAATTCTTTGTCTTGTCCTCACCACAAACTCCTCCCAGTATGCCTTCGCAGACACCTGCATCTAGTTGAAAAAAGCATTTCATGTGTTCCTACCACCGTTTCTCCATTTCTATCCTTCCTTTTGTTGCTATAAACTTTCTGAGCACCTATTATTCTCCTTCTATGGCTCTCATTACACTGATGCACTCACTATTAATTGCTTTTCTAATGTCTGTTTCACAAGATATCAACTCTATAAAAGCGGCGGGTAAGTCTGTCTTGTTCCAGCTTCAGTTATCAGTGACTAACACACTTTATGACACATACAGGGGGCTTCAAAAAATGCATGGAAAAAGAATCAAAATGTGTATTTTAGTGTAAAAATCTTTGAAATCTATGCATATGGGGATCTTCAAAAAATGCATGGAAATACATTATGATAAAACCATGGACAGATTTCAAAAATTTTTACACCAAAATGAAATTATCTTTTAGTTCCATTTTTCCACAAACTTTTGTGCATGCTTTCATATTAAGCCTTCAACAATAATGATTATCCTAGATTGTGTCATAATAGTGTTTTTTAAAAATAACTATTTTTTTAAAATAATTTCCATTATAACTCCCCAAAATCTGGTTTCCACCCTCTCCATTCTCATGAACATATACAGTCACCAAAAATATGTAGTATATACTTTCTTAACAATTGCCTACAAGTCAATAAATAAAAAAAAAATTTGGGATGGACATCTGACACAGCATTAAGTCACTACTTGGGACACCTTCATTCCACATTGTAGGGCCTGGTTCTGTCTGCTTTTATCCAACTTTCTGCTGATGTGTGCCCTGAGTGGTAATGCTGATAGTTCAAGTACTTAAGTCCCTGCCACCCATGTGGGTGACCTGAATTGAGTTTTGGGCCCCTTGCTTTGACTTCGATCAGGCCTGGATGTTGCAGCCATTTGGTAGTGAACCAGTGGGTGGAAGATTCTCTCTCTCTCTCTCTCTCTCTCTCTCTCTCAGATACAAATAAATTAAGCAAATAACACTTTCCAGAAACATAACATTTTCTCAGCCCCTTTTCTTTATGACCCTTAAGAATCTGACGTTGATGATAACCCCTCTCTTTGGGGATCCTCCTGGGGACTGGTTCCTCTTGCCTCCTAATCTCTTTACCTCAGCCTCCTTCCTACAACCTTCACAAATCAATCCCACCACATCTACCTCAGCCTTTTTGCTTGAAATACTCTACTGGACTTGAAGCTCTCCCATTCCTAGCTACACTGAATATTATTAGATTAATTTTCTCTGTTCAAAAATCTTCAAAGCTTCTTGCTGCTTATATTATTAAAAGCCTAGACTCCTTATCCTAGCATTCAAGGTCCTTCATAATCTGTACCCTAATCTCTCCAGACATACTCCCAAATTACTTGTCGTCAGTCCCACTTAACTAACACCATAAAGTGCCTTATACTTCCCTCTCTCTGACTTTTGTGTCATGTCAGTTGTCCTGCCCGTAATGCTTCCTCTTAGCTTCAATCTATCCTCATATAGCTGTTGATATTCTGGTCAGATTACTGTTTCTTCATTAAGGCCTAGCCACTCACTGAATTATTTTTATTTTATTTTGTTAGTTTCAAAAATAGTTTTGTAAAATGTCCTCAAGTGTCCAAACTTCAAAGGGCACAAAAGTATATGCAAAAAAATATTGTCTCCCTCCCAACCCTGTTCTTCAACCAGCTAGGTGTCACCCTGGAAGTAACTAGTATTATCAGTTGCTTGTGTTTCTTTCCAGAGATATTGCATTAGAAACAAATAGAAGTTACCACCCTTTAATATGATTCGTATGTTGTACCAAATAAATATACATCCCTTTATCTTCTCTACAGAGATTTAACATCTTATGTACTTACATATTTTCCTCCTACTTATGCAAACTGTGTGCCTTGGCTTCTTCATAGAATGTCTCTCACACCAATATCCGTTGGTCGTGCAATCTTTTTCAAATGTGAGATAGACTATTCAATGGTAAGACTGAATCTCCACCACCTTTCTCCTCAATTAAGAAGGATAAAAAAGTAAGCAGCAGTTTTTTAAACACTTCCTCCCCATACACAGCCATTAAAGGGAAATTAAGGCATGACTAATCACATATGCAGATGTGCATTGTTTTACTGCGATAGTTTAATATGTTCCAGATTGGAGCACACATTACCATATTTCCTCTGGTTCTGATACAAATGCTGATACAAAGATTAACAAATCTACTGATTTGTAATGCATGATTGTTTCATGTTAGAAATCTCCAATTTCTGCAACATTCAAGTTCACTGAAGGTATGTTTGTATTGAAACTTTTTTCATAATTGCGTCCATCTCCATTTCACATTGGACATATTAAAAATGACATGACAGCCCACCCACCTTGTTACTGCTTCTTAACTACCTGACAGTTTCCTATGGTTTTTAACATATATACCAAACAGTGAAATGATAAAGTTTCAAAATGATTTTTAATATAAAGAATGAATACCTAAGAGTCAAGAGGTAGAAATAAGTTGTTTCATTCATATTTAAACATTGTTCCTAGCAAAACTTACCTAAGGATTACACAGTACACAATAAAACAGATGTTTGGAACCAAACATGATCAATAGAAACAAGGTAACTTGGAATGCTTCAAAATCCATTAGTTAAAGAGACTTTAACTATCCCACTGGCTTGTTTTTAGCCAACTAGCTGGGTGCCAGATATTTCCTTTACTTCACACTATACAAAACAGAACTTTCATGTATACTGCATATCTGTACTTTGAATTAGGATACTTCTATCTTACTAATCTTGTATTTAAATGAATGCCCAACATTTAAATATTAATGACAAAGATCAAATTTTTCTTAGGAAAAAGTATCTTGAACCAATAAATAAAATTCTACTTAAAAATTAATTTAGATCAATTTTATCTATACAACCATTTATAATTTTAGAAACTTAAAAATATTGTTTCTTCCAACCCTGAAAAATACTAGTATTTTAGACTTACAATTTTAGTGGCCCATTAAATCAGAATCATAATACAGCTCTAGTTTATTATTTTACTTAATGATTCTTTCTTCCCCAACTAAAATACATAACAATTTTGTATGAATTTACTCTTAGTTTTATGAGCCCTTCACCCAAAATAATCTCATAAATATAAAATTCATAAATTATTTGGGTATGAGAAAGGTTATGTGGTTTCTTTTTATTCTCATCATAAAGATTGGATTTATTTTTATTCTCAATTTTGATATATTTTGTTTCTTATTTTATTTCAGACTTTGAAGATATACTGTTGTAAATGGTTTGAATATTTACCAACAAAGAAACTAAGTAATACATAATAGTTAAACATATTGCTCAAATGAGATGTTAAGACCCTGTGAAGGTAGGTTGGAAGCACTTAGCTTTGATAGGCATGATGTATAGCTAGGGAAGTAAGTGTACCCGAATAATTATGCAGTCTTTGAAAGAGGGGCTTATTTATAAGTAGAACAGCCAATGAGAGCAGGGCAGTACTTGTCAAATTTACAGGAAGTAATTAAGGAAGCAGAGATTCTCATCTTTTACTGGCTGTTTCTGGATTCCATACAGATTATGAAGAGCGACAAGAAAAATGACAAGGCAGCCTAAACAGCCCATCAAATTTTCAACTAAGAAAATTGTTTTTCTTCATAGGTAAACTTTCTAACAAAAATACTTATTGACTTATAATTTTTATCTTACACTCAATTGATAGTAAGTTTGAAAAAGTCTGATTTCAACATTTTAACAAAAATGCAGAGATGTTTATCCCCCAAAGGATTTGTTCCCTGTTTCACCAGGGTTTTATAATCCTCTCCATTCAATCCCTTTGGTTGGCTGCCATCTGGCATTTTGCCTTTGATTTTATGAATAAAGTCCCCAATTGTTTCTGCAGCTGTTATCAGTGCAGGCTGACCTGTTTTGAATGGGGATAACAGAGGAAAATATCTCCACAACATTCACAGCATTTCATTCCTGTGGCTCTCTTCCCAGACCTCAACCCAGATGTTGACATTACTAGACCTTGGTTCAAGGAAGACACAAAAGTGAACTATTTTCAGTAATCATTATTTATAAATATGTTTATGAATTAATTAATATGATTTATTAATTCTATACATATTAATGCACACATACATGATCTCATTAATGGTACTAACAGTGATTCTAATTATACAATTTCTACTTCCAACTAGTTGTTTGTCATGTCTATAATGATGTCTGTAGCTTCCATCCTGACTTCATGCAAAACAGTCTTCAAACTGTAGTCCAAGGAGCCAGGGGAAAATTAGTTTGTGAGGGTGATGGGCTCTTGAGAGTTAGATCCATTCCCCTCCTTTCACCTAGGGCAGTTCCTTTTTTATGTTTATAGATTTGTTTTTATCTATTTGAAAGGCAGAGGGGTAGACAGAACAAGAGATAGAGATCTTCCATCTGCTGGTTCACTATTTAGGTGCCTACAACAACCAGGGTTGGGCTTCCATGCTGGAACTCCATCTGGGTCTCCCATGTGGGTAACAGGGGACTAAGAGTTTGCCCCATAATCTGCTGCCTCCAAGGATGCATTAGCAGGAACCTGAATCCCCAGTGCAGTAGTCAGGACTTGTGGGTGCAGGACTTGTGGGTGGCTTAACGTGCTATACCAAAATGCCAGCCCCAGAGCAGTTCTTCTTAATTACCTTCATGTATTAGACTTCCAAGAAAGATTTCATTTGAAAAAGGGATTTCACTACTAATTTAGGGGATAACTGAACCCACCTACTATTAAGGGGGCCGAGGGCCAGTACAAATCAAAAAGATATTATTATAACTAGAGTTATCTTTATAGAAGCAAAATTTCCCCCTAAAAATATCTTTTTTAACTAAAGCTCCCTAAAATTTCCACTGCTAGTGCCACTTTCTTTTTTAAGACATTGAGAAGTGTAGGGCAGCTATAATGTGTTGGACCCGCAAATGTGTAAACCATCCATCAGCATCGTGTAAGACAAAGTTATTCTTCTAGCTCTTGAGACTGCCTACCTAGTAGAAAACCTAGAATGCTTTGGTGGCAGTGAATAGAATCAAAAAATGTTTCTGAGGTCATTTACTCCCGAGAATTGTCAGCTACACTGGAGCTGAGGAGTGAGGTAAAGGTGTGGAAAAGAGAAAGAATGTCACTCTGAGCAGTAGAGAACAGTGATAAGAAACCTAGGCCGAGACTTGTGTACAAAGCAGAGGACTGTGGCCTATTAAAAGGGAGGGGGGAGGGCACTCCTCATCTCCTCTCCCCTTGGTTAAAAGAGATCTTACTTCAGAATAACAGGTTTTTTCCCTTTCCTAATATGAGTAATTCATTCTTCTTGTCGTGTCATTTCTAAGTGTTTTTAACTAAATTTTACTTTAAAAGTTTATTGTTGTCAATACCAGTAATAAGTCCTTAACACATATTCATCCCGAATCTGTCCTAAAACATCTCCAGTATTCCCCAAATTCAGGTAGCAAGGTTCTCAAATCTCTACACAGAATTTTCAGACCTATGAAAGGTCCTCACAAGGTTCATGGAAAGTGTTTTCTATGAAAACCAGTGGGTGGATTTCAATTTTATTTCACCAAAATAAACTACCTTTACATTTCATTTTTCTTTGAGCTTTCTGAACCCCACTTCTCTTTTTGCAAAGAAAGTTACTGATAAATGATCACCTGGGTGCTAGGGTTAAATGTAACAACATTATATCCCTAATTATATTCTTCCCAGAGCAAGATGTGGGTAGAATATTTAACTTCTTCCTCAAGTTGTTTAAATGGAGGGAGAAAAGCCTGCTGGGGCTAGTTTTTACATTATATTAAAGTGGAAATAGGAGTGAGTTATAGTCATGACTCACTACGTGCAAATTGTTATTCCACATCTCCAGGCCTGCACTGGAGGAGATTCCCTGAAAGCATTCTTCTGTACACACAGGAATTCTGTGCTTCTGAATTGAGGGTGATCCCTAGTCAATTTCAAAGCCAAGTTTGTGGGCAGCTTAGTTTTACAAAGAAGAATAAAACAACAAGACTGTATTTTATAAGTGCAGTTTCAGTGAAGGCCAACTTCAGAGAAGAGGAGTACAGAAGAGATGACAGAGACCTTTCATGAAACAAAACCAGAACTCTACCTGGTACTGTCTTACCAATTGTCCCTGAATTTATATCTGAAAATTTTAGACGCGTATAGCAGGAATGCTGCACTCCAGTTCTGTACCGTTGACCAAGTGCTTTCACGTGCATTTTCTCTTTTCTGCAGGTGGAGATCCCTGCACGCTCAAACCCACGGACACATCCAGGATGCCACTGAAGAACAGCGCTCCGGGTCCCCAGCACTCCGGGAAGTGACCTACCAGCGCGCGCACAGCCTCGCCAGCGACGGGCTGGTGCGTGCGTTTGCCTGCACGGTGTCTACCGCACGCAGCAAGGGGAAGGCACGGAACAGCTGTACCTGCCTACAGGTAAGAGAGTTCCCTTCCGTCTTCCGCGTTCCGAAGAAGGCATAGCGAAATCCAAGGACCTTTCTGAAGTTCTGAGCGCTTCCCAGGATGCAGAAATAGTTGCCTTGCTGAATTATCCGTTCCTTTGATGATCAAATAAAATCAAGCCCGGCTCTCCGCTGTTTGATGTGTGGCTCTGTCCAGTTTCTCGTGGGCTGCGCAGGCCGGCGGCGCCCGCGATGACTCACTCAGTCCTGGCCTCCCAGTCTTGGCCCCAGCGAAGGTAGCGATGCTCCACGCAGCCCTTCCTCAGCGCTTCGTATTCCTTTTTTTTTTTTTTTTTTAAGCTCTATTTATACAAATGTCTTTCTTCTTCCTTTCATTAAGCAGCCAGGATTTATTTTCTTTTCTGTCTGTATCAACGTTGCACACATTCAGTGCTGAATAACCAGTCAAGGTTTTGTGTTCTTATTTATTTTTATTTCTGATGAGGCAAGTGCAAATGAAAACAATGTAAGAGAAAATAATCAAACAGCTCGCCGAGGGCTCACGCCTTTGTTTTTATTCGAGTTTTCTTTTGCAGATCGTTTTTAAACTCTCTCTTATCAACTGGGTAATTAAGTTGATAGCTCTGAATTCAGCACCAGCCAAAGCAAAAGCCACTCAGGCCCAAAGGCTTCCTCCTTCTGGTGTTCACTGCACACTGGAGGAGGCTGGAGACAGAGAGAGAGAGAGAGAGAGAGAGAGAGAGAGATTGAGATTGAAGAATGTTCCAGCAAAGTCAGTGACTAGAGAAACCCAATCAGTCTGGCTACCGTTGAGGAGTGGCCAGTGCTTCCCCAGGCAATTCTCTTTTGCCAGAGAGGAGCAACAGAATGAGATCCCAGGGAGGCAAAAGACCTAAACTCAGGGCTAATGGAGCGAGAAAATCTCCCCTTTCCATCAGGGACAGAACCTGCTTTTTGTGTCCAATTTGGCTTAAAGTCGCTGAAGATTCGCAGGGCCAGGATTCCTTTGAAGACACCAGAAAGACTGAGCTATTGAGTCCGTGGCTGTATAATGAGGAACCTCAGCAGGCAGTGACACAGAGCACCCTCTAAATAGCCCCAGGGATGAGGATGGGCTCAGAGAAAAGAGGGATGGATAGAGGGGGTGTGACATGCTACTGAGTGCATCAGCTACATCCTGGCAAGACTGGGGGTAGCAAGGCAGTATGATTTAAACTGCACAAAGAAACCTCTAGGTGACAAGGAGAAACAACTTCCAACCAGGTGGCTGGGACTATGCCTTACTCGTTTATTTAAAAAAAAAAAAAATCACCTCCTACCAGTGCCCAGCCCAAAGTGAATCTTCACCTCAACCTGACCCCCTGCAGAGTGAAAACTCCAGGAGAGGGCGTGAGTGTGTTTAACCGGCTACGCCCAATGCCTATGGTGATACTTTCACCTCCTCCTTATCGCAAGGGAGGGAAATCACCGGTAGAGGCGGGCCTTCCCTAGGCTCTGGGGGAGAAGAAATCTTGCAACAGGGGGCTCCGTTGGAAGCCTGCACGGTCAAACCCACGGACACATCCAGGATGCCACTGAAGGTGGCATAAACACCACCTTCCTAAAATTGGGTTTCACAAACGCCAAACATAAGCCTGAGACTACTGTAAAAGTAAGGGAGGTCTTCCCACTTAAAACACGACTGCTTAAATGGCTGTTGGAAACGGCCGTCGTAGGAGATGCACCGGCTGGGACCTTCCAGGTTCTATCCAGTCCTGCTTCGCACCCTGGGTCCTCACGCAAAGGGAAGGCCCACGGAGAGCAACCGCTTCCCTGAGTCGCTCCGGGCGGAGCCAGCGGACCCCCTCCGTCCTCTCCCGGGCCCCAGTCCCTCGCACCACACCCCTTCGCCCCAGCTACTGACAGAGGCCGTGTGCAGCTGCCATAATGTGCATAAAAGCGTGTCTCCCAGGCTTTGCGCTCTTCTGTTCTTGGAATACTTTTGGCAGATCCTCCGCGTCTCCTGGGAGTTTAAACACGCATTTTTTCTGGATTTCAGACGGGAGTCTGAAGTGTTAACTGTGTGTTTCCCGCCCCCAGCCCGCGGATCTTTCTTTCCAGCGGCCGCCACGGGGATGTCAGCCTTTTTTTGATCTTCCTCCAGCTGAACCCCGGGAGGAGCGCGCAGGAGTCTAACTGCCTCCGGCAGGGCGCTGCACGGGCTGCCCCCGGGCCCAGGCCGTCGGCCAGGAGGCGCCGGTTCCTCGCGGGGTGCACCAACCTCGGCCCGCAGTCGAGGAAAGCGCTTGGGGCATTTGGTCCCCGCGGTCGGCGGAGAGAAGGGGCCGCGGCGGGCAGAACCTGAGCTGAGGATGGGGGGACTCGGGCGCGGGGGGAGGAACTGGAAAACAAGAACCGCCCCCCACCCACCGCCACCACCGAGGTCGCCGCGGCCGAGTAGCAGAGCGGAGGACCCCGGAGTTAGCGCACTTGGGCGGCAGCGAGGTTGGGCGGTCTCACGCCCCACCCCCGCCGCCGGCGGTGGTGGATGCTGGAGCTGGTTACGGGTGTTAAACTGGTACGCGGGTGGGGCAATTCATTAGGCAAGAAATGGATTAGTTGTTTATTATCTATAAACATTCCAACCGCAGCAACCTGTCATAAAACCACGGAAGGGCCTATAAACTCGAGCAGCGGCGAAGCCTCCATGTGGGCAGCGGGGCTTAGCGACTGTGCCCCGGCGATCGGGGGCCCGTTAGAGCCGCCGAGGGGCGCGCGGCCAGCACGCCAGTCGCCGGATCGCGCTTCCTACGCTGGGAATCGCGACCGCTCCGAGGCGGGTGCGGGAGGGAAAAGGTTGGGGGTGACAGGAGAAAGGATTGGAGGGCCGCGGTGGGATCCTTAGAGAGGCGGACGCCGGCAATAAAAGCTGTTGATTAAATAAGGAGAGCAATTTGGACCTTGCTTGCTTCGTGAAATACTTAGTCAGCAACCATGAAAGCGGCCTCGTAATATTTTATGGAGAGGAAAAAAAAGACGTTTAAATCCTTCTGGTGGCAGAAATTCACTTTTGAATATGTCTTTTTACAATTCGTGTTTGGAATAAAAAGCTTTCGAAGAGGAGTTAATTTCCAGCAACTGGCAATTTTTTAAGTATAAATTTTTTAGCCAAATAGTTACTTGTTTCTTTGAGTACTGCTTAAAACAAGCTTTAAAATCTCATTGCGTATTTGACATTTTACTATACAACAAACAGTATGCTGGTTTCCAAACAACCAATTTAAATATAGTTTTCCATTGTTATGCAGAAATCAAGCTATTTAATTTCTTAATGCAATTTAGCAAATATACTGGTTTGAAATGAACAGTTTTGGAAGATATTGATATACACACTCATCACACTTTCTCATTTCTCCGATTTTAAAATGTCTTTATAACAGTTCAGAAACCGGGCACAAATCGAAACTGAAGAGCTTGATACATTATAAAAAATAAGACATCATACAGCTTCCTAGATGAAGCATTATAGGTAATCTAGGAGCTCCTCTCCTGCAGATTTTTTTTTTAAATTCATTTGTTAAGTTTTATTTGCGGAGGGATGTTGATATTTAAGTAATTGCTCAGGTGTTTGGATTTCTGTTCAGTACTGCTAAGGTACGTTTTTTCCCTAGGTAGTATTTCTTAAATTGTAAATACAATGCTTTGAGAGTCTTGAAGAGATAACAAATCAGTCTCCACGTCCACGTTTTTCCCCTCTGGCAACAGCCACCCCTCGAACCTGGCCCTCCTTGTTCCTTACTGGGAGACATAACAAACAAACGATTACATGTTGGAAAACACATCTGAAAACAGAAAGGTCACGTTACTACCGAGTCCTGGGCAACATTAATCTGGTGTTTTGAAAATAGTTGACAGTTGAAGGTTGGGGTTTTTCTCTGAGAGAGGGAGAGAGAGCATTTGAATGAGAATCAAAGGGAAAGAGTCTACTCTGGGGCTTTCTCACGTGAGCAATTAATGATTTGGGGCTGCCAAGCTTCTATCTCACATTTAAACACACCGCACAACTGGGACTAACAGAATCTGAAATGGCTCCCGTTCGTGTGTGTGTGTGTGCGCTCGCGTGCTGTCCTGGAACAGCGCGAACAGTAAGAAATAACCATGATAGCATCAAGCCCCGAACCCCCTGAGGGCGAGGCTGCCGGACAAAAGCCAGTCCCTTCCCTAACAGCTTAGGAAAAGGTGAAAGTTGATTGCCTGGCTACTTGCCTCGCTGCCACAGTTCTCCGAGCCAGCGCCCCAGTCTCTCCCCGCGCTGCGGTGGGCTCTCAAGTCCTCTCGCGAACTGGGTTAGGTGCAGGTATCCCACCGCCTAGCGGCTAGGAGTCTGAGACCCACGCATCCGCCTGTGCCGGCCTGAGACAGCTCATCTGACTTGGTGAGGTGGCATGAGAAACAGAATCTGAAATACATTCCTGGGACCGAGATTGAAAATGATTCTATTGAAAGCCGATAAATTGCAAAGGCAGCAAAATAGTGAATCCTTTACAGGGATCCTCAGATCCTGGTATCTCCAAGCCTGAATGAATTTTCAGGCGTGATTCATGGGGAGAGCCAGATAGTGAGAACGGGAATCGAGGTTCACCAGGGTTCTGTGTGGCCTGGGCGTGTAGCTGTAGCCTGGAGGGCCCAGGTTTCTCCACGCACAGCGCGCTGTGTTCTCCGGCTGCACAGCTCCCGAGGCCAGCAGAAGATGCGCTGGATTTCTGGAGCCTTCCCTCCCACCCCGTTGGCGTTCCTGTTAGAGCTGTAAACGAGGTGTGTGGGAGACTGTGGGGCAGATATTTTGGGCTGGGAAATTTCGCGCCGCGTTTGCTTGGGTTCATCTGCCCATGGTGGAAATGCTCAGGGCGAGCCGAGCCGGCGATTTCCACGCCTATGCGTCTCCTTTGGATTTCAAACACTTTGGTCAACTGGAAGCACAGCCACTTGTAGCCAAACCCCAAGCCCCTAGGGGCGCTTGCGTGAGTCTGGCGCGGTTCCCGTGCGCTGCAGAGCCGCGAAGCCATGGCCTTGGCCAGTCCCTGAGAGCAGAGGGTGGGGACGATACGTCCCAGAGTTCAATGTGGATTGCGCTGACAGTGAGAGGTTGGAAGGGGCGGGCTGTTTG